TGCTAGGGTGGCCTTAAAAGTCGCCCGACTTTAAAGGCCAAAATAGCAACAACTGGAATACCAATCAAACTTGTGTATTTCATCTGGAAAAGTACTTTTCCATAAAATAAAAGAATGTAATTGGGTGTCTCATCATTTACTAGTGACCTTTAAAGTCACCCGTGAGATAGCACACTCATAACCTGTATGGTTGAAAAATGTTGATAACATTGTAGTGGATTGCCTGAGACTATTCTCTTATACCTTGAGGAACTGATTGCGGTTTATCCCTCTTCGCTGAACTCGGAATAACAAGGGAGTCTCATTCTTCTACTTCACATTTCCTTTGAGACTTTTGAAAATTGATGGTATCTAATGCCTGACTATAGGTTTTGCATAAACTTCAATAAATGCTCACTTCTCTAATCTTCGAAGTCAACCATTGACTACTTCAAGTCTAGTCTAATTCCGTTCGAATTCGCCTGAGAAGATATTATTTCTACAGTAAAAATCAATCAGGTGTCTTGCTTTCATTAGTGGAGCACTGGACTAGCTGAACAATAACCATTAATTCAGTTCAATGAAAAGACTAGGTTTCCCTAAGTATTTAACTAGTATCACAATTGTGATATGAAATTGTTCAGTTATTTCGCGTTACTGGGTGGTGCTTGAAGGTGAAATGGGAATTTGAACTACGACAAGATCCGAACCAGTGACCAATAAATTTAGTTCACATTCCTAAGTATCACTTTATTAACTCCAGGGTAGTGTATAAGAAAGATTTTTGGGGCGACTTTAAAGACCATCCTAGCAACAGTCGAGATAACCAATTAGATTTCGTCATTTTGTCTGGAAAGGAAGATTTTATAAAATGAAGAAGCCTGATTGGTTATTCCAGTTGCTGTCAGAATGCCCTTTAAATTCACTCGATTTTAGGATATTTTGAGGTGGATTTTATTCATTTATTTTCAGTATTCGTCAAAAAATGGTTGGAATGAAGGAGTGCCAAGGATGCCTATCATGCCTTTATTCATGCTGTTTGGTGAAATTTACTGATGTCTACTCTTGTGATCAACACTTTGGCACTGTCGTCATCGTCCCCAAGACTTCTGTTATGGCAGTAACGCTTATGGTACAAAGAAGGGGGATGTAATGTATCATGCGATGATAGTAACAGACTGTATCAAAAGTGTAACTGTAGCTAACAATGATGAGTCAGTGTTCTTACCGTGAAAACTGACAGTTCAAAATTGAATTTTTGAAGAATTTATGAGTAAATGTTGTGCATATTCTGAGTGGGTTGTTCTCTGAGCGCAAGTTTTAATTGGCAAAAGTTTCAATCTCATTTTAAGGCAAGATTGATGGTGGAAAACTTGTGTTTGAAACCACACTTGTATACCGTAATTTTCTTTGGAGAATAATTGTTGAACAATGGAGAATTATCATTAATGTATATGACTGAAATAAACAGAGAATTTGAGCTTAAAAGTCTAACTTTAACACTGTGATAAAGCGGAAACATGAATCAGCTATACTCGTGATAACCATTGGAGGTGCGAGACCGTGGATAAGCGTTACAGTACTTAACTCTAATAATTTACTGTCAATCAGGAAGAAAAAATGTCCAATACTTCTTGGTTGTCAATTCTTGATCATTTCGTGATGGAAGAGGTTGTTTCAACTTAAAACTCATTCATGATATTCTGATCCCTGAATACAGATCATGCTGTCACTAGCCTCCAAAAGCGATTATAATAATACGAGACTTTCCACTGGTCATAATTTGTTGGTGGCGCTCAAGAGTGAAATCCACGATGCGTGTTTCATGCTATCTGGGACTCGTCATCCTCTCCTAACTACACCAACCTACAACTGGTGAGGATGACCTATTGAAGACGATATGAATCGTGAAAAGTAGGGACTTTAATGTGCTGCTGCAACTCTGAAAATAAGTGTTATTTCTCTTATTATCCGCATAAAGCATGTTGACTTCCACGTATTGGACTCAACTGGGCATGGCTAAATGGGAGACCTCAAGACTTTCAGAATTTTAAGTTTTTATTAACTATGTGTACCAATTAGTATTATTTCTTGTATTGTCCCGTCATTGATTGGACCGAACTGATCGGTCTCTATCGGCATATGGGCTCCTGTGAGGATGCCTCGATATTACCTGTGTTCTAATTATAGTAAAGATGGATAGTGGGTAACAGTGGAATCCAGGATGGGTATTTCGTTTTATTATGGACTCTTAAACCGGATGCACCTGCCTCTCAGTGAATGATATTGTTCCCACTAGGATTCTGACTCGGGAGCGGTCGCTTCAAACGCGAGGGCGTTATCCACTACACCACCAAGCCACGATAACCACTTCTTGTGAGACGGTGCGGACAACATCACTTACTAAGAGTCAGGTACATCCAGTTGACGAGTCCCAAATAGGATGAAATGCGCACCCTGGATTTCACTGCTAGCCACTATCCATCATTATTATGTGTACCGATTGTTTGGAATGTTTAATAAAAGCCATTAGTATCATATTACACCTCTGTCGTGTATCGTAGGATTCAGCGGTACATTGAAATCTTGAGCGATGATAACTGTCATTGTTCTGACTGACTTCAGTTATATCCAGACTTCAAATACAAAGGAATACGACTAGCACTGACATCCAGCAAGCAAGCGTAGATATACCTACACTGATTTATTGCCAACAGTTAGGAAAAGTGTTCCTTGACACCTAGTCATCTTGAGATATTGAGTGTTTGAAATGGTCATCCCAATGGATGCCTGCGGTTCTTATTTTAACCCCATAAATTCTTCTTGCCTCCACAATGACTTTGTAGACCATATAACATTATTTCACACAACAGCTCAATAGATATCGGTCTGGCAGTTGAGAAGGGATCATTGCTACTTTTGTGAGACTTGGCAATGAGTGTGACTGACGAATCCACTAGATATTAGCTAGAAAGTAAGAGGACACTAGAGGAAATAAGAAGGGCTCAAATACCTAGGCAAATCAGTTTGTTTGACAATTTTCAACTGAAAAATCTAACAAACAAAGAAATAACACAAAAACCCACATCCAGTCAACTTTCTAGTACTTCAAAGCAAAAATCACCGTAGTCAGTTGGAACTAAACTGTAGATAAGAATAGCCTATGTTAGATTATGCAAGCCAGCTACTTTTCACCTCATGTATTTTGACTTTCTTCTTCTCAAAACAGCAGCATCAATCAGTGCTTGAATGAATAGTTGGTTTCCCAATAACTGATAAATAAATGCTACTTATATACCTTTAGTGGTGACGTCTAATTGCTCAAAGTTTCAGGTCCATTAGGCTGATTTCTACCAAGTTTCTCAGCCATGTTAAAATTTCATCTGTTGAGCTGTTGACGGTAGTGAATATCTTTTAGAGGAAACTACCCACTTTTTAGAGACAAGGAACAGAAAAGACCTCAGCAACAACTTCCATACCCGAAACAGGCTTGATAATGCGGCTAACACAACTTATACCAAGTAGCAATACTCTGAAGTTTATTGACTGGGCCCTAGAGAGTAACTGGTATCATACTTGGTTGTATCATTTTGAAAGGGCTGCTTGCTGACAAAATCTCAGCTCGGATGCAGAAGGTTTACCTGGGATTTGCCAACTTGCGCCATCACTGGTGCCGGCCGATGAGATATGCAACAGCCTATCAAAGTACAAGTACCGTAGTCCGTTCTATCTTGTTACACGGCTGTGAGACAGGGGGGTTAAAAATAGAAGAGATGAAGTGTATACAGACCTCTGATCACAGATATCTTGTTAGCATTGGTCTTGTTTTGCTGAATCATCGTACGAGCAATGCTGAGGTGAAGTGAAGGGTAATAGGCAAGATAGGCAAATCGATCAATGAAGCTGTGAAACTTATTCGACTGAGATGGCTTAGACATGTATTGCATATGTTGAGTCACTCCCTACCTCGATTTGCCATGCTACAGGAAGTTGCATTAGATTGGAAGAGGGTTTAGGCTGGACAAATCACTACGTGACACCAATCGATGAAGTCTGTTGGTATTGGTGTGAGTCATGAGAGAAGATATAGACTAGCTCAATGGCTTGGGTCCCCAAGATGATGAGAATCAGTGATTGAGGACTCTTGTTGACATGACTGAAAATCGGTCACAATGGCACAGGTGTATTCACTCATTGACACCTTTGAAATCTTGAATATTTTCACTAACCTTCATCTTTCGGTTGGTTATTCTGTCATACGACTTCACCTTCTTTGACAGCCTTCTTTTTCTATCCATTTGTTGTTTGTGTACTACTATGATGTATTGTAAGTTGAACCTATGCACCTATGTTTGAGGTTCTCCGTTGATTTTGTCAGTGAGTGAGTGCGTGAGTCATTCAGTCAGTCAGACTAGTCTTAAGTAATGGTCAAATTCTGTCGGTCAAGTATTCTGTGTGTCATCATCAACCCAAGCCATCGTGGTGAAATTGGATTGGTGTTTTAGTTAACAATTTCTGTATGATATAATGTTTTGCACTCGGGGGCCAATAGCTACCCACGTGATGGTTTCATAATTTTTTACCTAACTTGAGAAACGGTAGGTTGAAAACATTTTATGAATGCACCACGGTATGCAGTATGACTTGCTGACACTTGAGTTATCAAATAAGTTTTGGTTGCTAAAACCAGTTGGAGAATTGTTTAAAACCTGAGAAGAATAGACAGCTGTTTCATCCTAGCATGGGACATCTCAGAAGCATGCATTGACGACCTCATCAGTAGACCAAACTGGGGACCTTCACGTCTCGCAGTGAACGAGTCAGCTATTTAGACACTGGGACAACTCTCCTCCAAGGTCCTTAGTTGACGTTTGCTTCACTCCTATAGGTCACACCTAAAATTTAAGCAGACCGACACTCATTCAACCTTGTTAGATGCATATTTTTGGCTTACTAAAAAGTGTTGCAAAAATATTGTTCTCCATTTATATTGATTTTCAACTTATTTCTCTTTTCTATAGTTTTATCGAATATCGAACTATTTGAAAGAATTGTACATAGCTGAATCATGGCTTGACAATCTATTGGTAAATGATATTTCACAAAGTCGTAGTCATTCACCAGTTAGACAACCAACAGATTATCGATCGCGTAGGACACGTAATGAAAATAATTTATTGATTTCACAGAAAATTCAAAAACGAACATGTAGTGAACAACGTTATGAAGAGACACAATTAATTGCTGGCCTATGGGACAGAAAAGAAATGGATCTTATTCAAAAATTAATTCGTAGAGCTATTTCTTCAATTGAATTGAAGAAATCTATCAAACAGGTAAGTTCGTAAATTACTGAAAACGAAATTCACACTTATCATTAGTAATGAAGTTAAGAATAGTGTTATTGCTTGTATTACACCGTGGTTAATTGAACCGAAATGTTCAGTCTCTATTGGCATATGGGCTCCTGTGCGGATGCCTCGATGTTGCTTGTCTTTTTAACTGTGCATATTAGTGATGGATAGTGGGTAACAGTGGAATCCAGGATGGGCATTTCGTCTTATTTGAGACTAGTCAGCTAGATGTACCTGCCTCCCAGTGAGTGATGTTGTTCCAAACGGGACTTGGACTCGGGAGCGGTGGCTTCAAACGCGAAGGCATTATCCACTACACCACCGACCCACGATAACCACTTCTTGTGCGACGGGTATAGGTTTAGTGTTATTGTTTGTATTACACCGTCGCTGATCAATTCGGCCCAATCAACGACTGTGTAATACAAACAATAACAATAAACCTATACCCGTCGCACAAGAAGTGGTTATCGTGGGTCGGCGGTGTAGTGGATTACGCTTTCGCGTGTGAAGCCACTGCTCCCGAGTCCAAGTCCCGTTTGGAACAAAGTCACTCACTGGGAGACAGGTACATCTAGCTGAAGAGTCCCAAATAGGACGAAATGCGTAGCCTGGGTTCTACTGCTGGCCACTGCCCATCATTACTACAGATGTTAAGAATATTCATAAATTTGTTACTATGATTATATTTTACATGTGACAATGTATAATTCCCTATTGACATTCACCTATATGTGAGACGTGATGACCACAATTCGTTGACCCTTTCAATAGCCATACACTCTTCATACTACATGAAGCCTAACTCTCTGCTTATTTTGTGTATGTTCATCACTCGGTGGAATCACGGATACTAATCCAACATATAGTAGTGGACAAAATTTTGGTAGATAGTTAACTTTGACCCCAATACATGTTTTATTAATTGACAAACTAATCATCTATTTCATTGGATTTGTAAAAACTCTTTGAATGAGTATTACTTATTCAAAAATCATTAAAGTTAAAGTACTTCAGTTTATTCCGAGAAGAACAGTAATTGTAGACAGAGTAATTAACTTTGGAAAACTGTCAAAAAGTTTGCATAATTTCCTGGTACATAGATCACTTGACAGTCTACAACTGAATTTTGTAGAGAATATGATTTCAAGTCAAATACTGATCAGTGGATGTATTCTAAGAAATTGCTATCACCAGTTATGGTCATCCAGGCACATAAGTAACTCTATATAACTTAAAACGAATTATGCAATTTCACCTTTGTAATGACACTTGTCCAATACAAAGAATGTGAGCGTAGAAATATTTCTTTTCACTTAGTTTCTCATCGATGGCTTTACTCATAAAATTACATACCAATCTAGTGGTGAGAATTATTTAATATCGTGCGGGAAAGCCGGTAGTGTCTGGTTCGAATCCGTCTACGGTCCAGGTTTTCATCCCACCTTTAATCATCACCCAGTATCAGAAATACTAGTCTGCCAAACCACGGCTACCTCAGAAAGGTCAAAATAGTCATGAATATGATCCTCCTCCTCTCATTCTAATTCAGTTCCATTTCGATTGCGATGAGAAGTCCTGACTAGCAGCTAGTGTGAATACGATCAAGTGGTAGTAACGTGTCATGAACTCATGTAGTAGTCTGGCAAAATCCTTGGTGATTGAAATGAAAAAAAATCTGATCACGAGTCGGATCTCGTAGGCTGGTAGTTGGTAGAGCATTAGGCTGGAAATCCAGTAGCGGTCCAAATTTTCATTTCACCCCAGTATAGGTTAGTTAGTAACAGGTTATCAATCTTAAACTATCAAGAGGGTGATTATTGACCGGGTAATCAAGACAATAACTTAAGTATTGATTAATTATAGTAGTAAACATTTCTGAAATTTTAAACAGATCCTTGTATAAGCGTATACTGACCAACAATGAACTGGATGGTTTTAAAGAAACTTGTGCACCGAGTTAGTATGATTCATCGTATAAGGTGTATTTTTACTTGTATAATCGTGGCGTAGTATATCAGATCTTGCTAGGAAGACCCTTTTCTAGAGTATAAATCTAACATTAAGTTTTCAGGTTAATATTCAAGTTTTGGTACAAAAAGTGGTGACCTTTACAATCATCCAATTAAATCGTGATATAGAACAAAGATCAATGCAACTTAGGTGAGTGAATTAGTTAATCGGTCAGAGAGGCTTTTTCCAGTTGTGCAAGTAAGGTGGAATAAAAATAGGGTGGGGAGAATTTAGTTCGATGGCTGATCTAAGCCTCTTTTGCACAATATATCTTTGTGAATCAGCTCTAAATGGTAATAAGATATAGATTATCTTCGTCTTCTCATTACGCTAATTCAACTTATTAAAGGGACCAGTTGCTTTAAAAAGAATACTTCTTGATGTCAGATTGAGTCTTGGTGATTAAGATATCCCTGATCAGTAGAAGCGAAATTAATTCAACCTAGCAATACTGTAATGATGTATCTAGAGTTATTTCGTGATAATACACTCAGCATACAGCTGAGGAGTCTCATACTAGGACGAAACAGCTATCCAGTGCTCTGAGGTTTTCAATAGTTCTCCAACTGAAATCCATCCGTGATGAATGCCATAAACGTCAAATACACACACACATAGTGTATATTGAATTACTTGAAATAAAGCTGTTTCAAAATCAATACTTAAGACGGGACTTCAAGTGGACGTAGAGAAGATGGAGGTGATGAAGATACCCAACCAACACTACCAACAACAAGCTCCAATCACCATCACCATGAACGGGAGAAACATAAAGGAAGTAGCGTGTTTTACCTATCTAGGCAGTATCGTTTCAACTACAAGCGGCACAGACGAGGATGTCAAATCCAGCCAGGATCGGAAAAGCGAAACAGGCGTTCATTAACCTGAAATCAGTCTGGAGATCTTCCGCACTCAGCACAAAGAACAAGATCCGGATTTTTAACACTAATGTCAAGTCAGTGCTTCCATGTGATGGTTGAGAAACTTGGCGTGTCACGAAAAGCATTTCCAACAAACTACAGATATTCATCAACAACTGCCTACGCTGGCTTGATACTGAAGATCAGGAGGCCAGAAAGAATAAGCAACGAGTAACTCTGGCAACGAACCAACCAAGAACCTATCGCTCAACAAATGTGCAGAAGGAATTGGAGATGGATTGGGCATACACTGAGAAGACCATTCGTGGACATCACACGCCAGGCACTGGAGTGTAATGCAGATGGGAAACGACCAGTTGGGCGAGGGAGACAAGGGTGATACGGAGGAGATCAAGTTAGGAAGAAATGGAAGCTTGTGGGGAGTCGTGGCATTAGGTTAAAAGAGAAGACTGCAGAGAACAGAGTGGAATGGAGGTGTGCCTACTGAAGCCGTATGTTCAACTAGGAACCTAAGGGACAAATAACATAATAATAATAAAATCAATACTTTGGAAGAAAGTTATATCATACAACAGGTTTTATGGTTTACCACCGATTACTTCTTTCCAAGCATTGAAAATTACTGATCAAAGTTTGATGATGGATAAAATGATAGGAACATCATTAAAAGTTGAAATTTCAATTTAACTCTGACTTTTATACTATTAATGATGATTGGTTATTTCTCCATTTGAACATTTACTGACTATTTCTATTACTTAATTGACTTGAAGCTGTTAGAATAAAAAAACGCTTAGATTACAATCAGATAACATATGAAATATAGGAATATGTTGGCTGTGAATAAATCTATATTCCAGTAAAATCATATGAAGTAGTGTGAACACCACTCACTAATGGCTATTTATTGATTTCGATGACGAGATCAGACTGATTAAAACATCATACGCCCGTCCGTTTTTATTGTTCAGCGTAGAAAGATATCAACATTATAAGTAGAAAAATTGATCTCATCCAAGAGCTAGATTGGTTAATGTCACTTGAATCAGGTTGACTGTCTTCAAAGTAATGTAACACAGTCAAATGGATAATGAGTGAACCAGTCATTGATGAAATTCCTGTATCATGTGGAGGATTTCTGTTAGCTAAATAGTTTTTCAGTTATCTGACTGTGACCCATTGTAAACTAGTTGATCAAAATACCCTAATGGGATATGAGATATTTATTGATGTGTATGAATATTTTACCTTTTTCGTGTGCTTCGAAAGTATGCTGGATTCTTTCGCTACGCTTGTGATTTCATAGTACAAGCTATGCTGAAATCATAGTTAGACAGTTAAAGATCAGCTACTCAGACGTCAGAAATATCAACTGCTATAATTTTGTTTTCATACTGATTGATAACTGAAGCTGAGGTGAAAATCTAAGCTAATTCAGGACCAGCGACCTCAAGGCTACTGACTTGGTGCTCTACCATCTGAGCAACGACACCCAGATCCTTGCTAGATCTTAATTTTACTTCAGTCACCAAGGATTCAACGGAAAATATAGTCTGATCAGATAGACTAATTCATAAACGTAATGATAACTAATGATTGAAAACGGCACTCTAGAAACGGCTTAGACAACCAATGAAGGCTCTCTGTTTTCTGAAAATCTAACTTTCAAGCAGAAATACCGAAACCTGATTGTTTATTCCAGCAGTTACTGGGGTGGCCTTTAAGTCAACCCTTCAGAGACCCTCCAACTGCTGCATTTTATGAAAAGTTAAATCCCCAACTTAAGTTCCAAGACCTGATTGGTTATTTAAGCAGTTCATAGGGTGCCTTTAACGTCACTCTTTTTTTAATCTAAAGAAAGGTCTGATTAAATTGCAGTTTGACTGTTCATTTTCTTGTGAACGTACAGCTAATTTTCTCAATTTTCATCATGCTACAAAAAGTTGAAACCATGATGAAATGAAAGAAATAGGATTGGATTCACATAACACTGGTTGTAACGAAAACTGATCGATTCGAACTGAAGCGACCTGGCATGATGCCAAATAATACAAATTTGATAAATATTACGCATAATCAGGATGCAGATAAGACTATTACAATATATTTGAATCAAACACAACGGTACTCCAGAGGACTTCAGTCATCGAAAATCGAAAACCAGCTATCGATGCCATGTAGAACAAGGCGTTAGTTTTGTAAAACTGAAGTAGTTGACTTTCTTCCCAGTTCTTGTTGAATGATAATCGTAAAATGTTTGTTCTATTTGTACTTTGATCACAGATTGATGGGGAGGAATCTTGTCCATCAGAGATGAGTGCCTTTATCTTCAGGAATTCTTCAACTGAAATGAAGTAAGTTCTTCTTCTCACTGGAGAGGTTTCTGTTAGCTATTTGAATGAATAACAACCACTGTTGTATGAGGGTTTATGATACTATTATTCTGTCTAGGGTTCAAACTTGGAAAGTATTATAGATAAGTTGAGCAGTAAAGTCAGAATGCCATATCTTTGCAGACGTTGATATGTATCTGATATTCCATCAACTCTAATGTTCACTTGTGTAAGTCTCACTTCAAGGTTGAGTAGTCTCATGAATACTTACTAGCTAGCGTATTTTATGAACCAGCGCTTCAATTGACAGACATCTCAGTGTCACCTATAGGCGTCCTCACTGGTAGAGCTTTAATACACACATGTCTACTTCTTCATGCTCATGATAAGCATCTAGAGATGAAGAAATTTTAAGTGCTCTCACTAATTTATTTGTCTTATGTGAGGGTCTCTCCGGATACGTTTAGAATATTCTCAAAGTTACATTAGTTTTCATGTTAACTAGTGCTAAAATAGGCTGATTCTAAAGGCCACCCTAGCAACCACTGAAATCACCAATAAGTTTTCTTTATTTTATTAAAAATTACCTTTTCAACAGAAATAGAGAAACCTAATTGGTTATTTAAGTCGTTGCCAGAGTGGCCTGCAGAGTCATGTCATTCAAAACGAGATGCTATGCGATAACTACGTTGTTATTTAGTTAGAGAAACCCTTAAAGTTGAGTTTTTTCTTCCCGGACGGTTCCTGCCTGCTGTGATATCTAGAGTTCATGTGAATATTGTAAACGACGCCAGTTCACTGTTTGTTTATTTTGAGAAAAATACCTTGAGAAAGTTCTCTTCATCTAAATTTACGAAATTGATCTCAAATCCTTCCACTAAGTGGTAGTTTACTTAGTTTAGTAGCAGCTTATCTGAATATATCAGAGAACCATTGATTCCCATGATTCACTATTCACAAACGCCATTCATTCTAGTGCAATGCTTGCTTAGTAGAATTATGCCCTACAATGATTTGTATGAGTTTTGTTAGGTTATAGGATATCAAATCCCTTAAAACGGCAACTAACTTTAATTTTATGTTAGAAAAGTGGTAGGTAGGTGAGATGAAATGATTATCAGTTTGAATATGGATATAAATGAATTAGAAATATGTTAGGAAAAATGAGAGGGTGAAAAGTCATCAACTACCAGGATAATAATAAATTGCTAACTGTCTCCTTCTGAACAAACAGTTCAGGTCGAACTCATCGGTTAGTGACGGATTCGACAATTCGAAGTAGGCTTGAGGTCTTTTGTTTGTTGACTACCATGAAGGGTTTCATTGCATTTACTTAGTGTCTCGTATCACATGAGTGACAAGCTATTGTACTGTTTAACGAGGATAGACTTCTGAGACATAGAGTGTATGATATGTACTCAGCAATCCTGGTAGACAACCGCCTCTCTGTTCTTCCTATGCACCTGCTACTGCATGTGTTTGTGAATTGATAAATACAGTTGGATTTTAAAAGAGTCGACACTTTTGTTCAAATGCACAGTTTATTTGGTACAGTGAGGCAAGTCTCTCAAACAGATAGGTCCTTGTCTTGCTCAGTCATCTGTCGATTCTTATCGCAACATCACCTCCACTGAAAGCCAGAGTAAGAAACACAGTATTCTTTTCAATAGTTATGCATCCCTCTTTCGACTCTTTGATTTTACTGTACTTCTGAACGAATTTCATCGGATGACGATTATTGCGTCGATATTGTTTAGTTGGTTGAAATTTCTCTTACAATTTTTATTGAGAACATAATATCTCTACCCTCTGGTACAGCGTCTTCACTCAACCTCTCTTGTAGCTTATTTAGCAGAAGCTGTTGAAGTTTAGACTCTGAAATATATTTGTACACATGAAACATAAAAAATCAACAGCTTCATGAGTGTTTAGGCACCGAGCAATAAGCTACATATATTATGTATGAGGGTTGGGATACTTCTTGGTCGCCGAAAACACCGGACATGGAGAATGTAAGAAACATGTAACCCCCTAGAAGGAAGTTGGATGCGAAGTATAGTAAGCTAAAGTATTGCCATATATATTATAAACACCAATCGTCATTTTGAAATAATTTGGCAGTTCCTTCAACACTATGGTTTTAGTGCCACAAACGATAATCAACCTCATTCAACAGCTATATGAAGATGCCACATGCCAGCCAAGTAATTCAAAATGAAAAGCTCAGTGATGCCTTTGAAGTGAAAACAGGAGAGAGGAGTAAGACAAGACTACCTACTATCACCGATGATCTTCCTGATTGTGGTTGACTGAAGGGGATCATGCAGCAAACCGTGAGGAGCGAGAAGATTGGTATTAGTGGTTTGATCGATGAAAAGAGCGAAAAAGATTTGGATTTCTCTGATGATGATTTACAGGCAAAAACTAACAAGTTGACAGAAGATGCAAGTCAGTGAAGACGGGACTTCAAGTGAATGTAGAGGAGACGGATGTGATGAAGATACCCAACCAACAACTGTTTCAACAACAAGAGGCACCAATCACCATTAACGGGAGAAACTTAAAGGAAGTAGCCTCTTCCACCTACCTAGGCAAGGCAGCATAATTTCAACTACAGGGGGCACAGATGAAGATGTCAAAGCCGGGATCGGAATAAGCAACAAGGAACTCTGGCTGGCTGGCTGGCAATGAACCAATCAAGAACCCATCCGCCAACAAATATGCAGAAGAAGAAAGTGGAGATGGATTGGATTGAGCATACACTTAGAAGGCCATTTAGGGACATCACGTGCCGGGCAGGTCCTCGCGTGGAATCCAAAAGGGAAACCATGAGTTGGGCGTCCTAGGCGACTGTGACGTTGAGAAGATCGTGTGAGGAAGAAATGGAAGCTTGTGGGCAGTCCTGGCACCAGGTTGAAAAGACTACAGAGAATAGAATGCAATGGAGATGTGCTACTGAAGCCCTATGTCCGACTAGGAACCCAAGGGGAAAAAAATCATAATAAAAATCATTTTGAAGTATAGCTGTGCAGACTGAACGGTTTGCATTCAACCCATTTTCTCAAGTGACTTTAAAGACCACCTTGACAACAGCTAAATTAACCAATCAGATTCCTTTTTTTTGAAAATCAACCCTTCCAGACGAAATTCAGAAATCTAATTGGTTATTTTGGTTGTTTCTAGGATGGCCTTTAAGGTCACTCCATTTTCTCTAAATTAATGTAACGTGAAATTGGTTTGTGTATGTGTGTGTGTGCATTTTTACCTTCTGGCTTCTAATTTAGCACTTGTAGAAATGAAAGTTAAATCAACCTTGATGGATAGTATACATGGTCACTAGCTGTTTAAGTGATGTAGCCATTATAAGTGAATTTGAATGCAAATTTTTAAGTTATTGTGTTACTATGGGACTCAAAATCTTTGTGAATGGGATAATGTTTTGTTCTAGGTTGAATAATGTGGATCCTATTTTCAAAAAATTTGAAGACATTGAGGTATGGTACTTCATAACGGTACATGTAGCACACCATGCATTCTTTATTAGTACACCTTTCAAGATTCACATGACATGCCTAATGACGTAAGGAAAGTCGTTGGAGTTTTATTTACTACAGTTTATATAGTTGCTTTCATCTTAGTTTGTAGTAAGATCATCTCAGATACTGAGCTCAATGGAGGTGACTATTAAGAGTCGATGAAAACATATCAGCTCCTGATGGTCAGAGGAAAACTGATGGATACAGGTCTTTACTTTTCAAAACACTGAGGGATATCCGTTACATACTTCTTCAGATAATGTAATATTCTTTATCAGCTCTCTGAATAGTAAAATTTCATATTCTATGCTTTTTTCTGAGTGTATTGTTCAGTATTCTATCATTGAATACTAACTAGTTTGAGCAGCTTTGAATGTTCACATAAAATAATGAACGAGTCGTGAATAGACACGATTTTCTCGACTGACTATACTTAGTATTCAAGACTTCCACAAGTATTTTAAAAGGTATGTAGTCTTATCAACATAAAAGTATACTTTTGAGTACAATCCTCCTGATTTACACAAATATTTTACGTGTCTAATTTTTCAGTCTTCCAATTGCTTTACGTTCATTTCTTCCGGAGACTGAGGTAACTATTGGCAATAAAGAGATGAATAGTTGGAAAAAAATTTATGCCGAAGAAGTTGTGAATATTATTAAAGTAAGAGATTTTCCCTACTTTTCATAATTTGAAGGTTGATACAGTCAGTTTAATAGTTGATTAAAACCTTGAGATTTTCTGAGCAAACTGAAATTAATTTTCTCATCATCACAAGTTTTGATGTAAGAGCTTGTGAATCTTCACCGTTGACTAGGCCGAATCTGTTAGCCACTACTAGTATATCGGTTTTTTTTAGCGGTTGTCACGGTATTGCTTGTATTCTCAATTTTGATAATAATGAGGTATAGTGGCTAGCAGTGGAGTATAAAACACGCGGTTCATCCTATTTCAGAGTTATCTGCTGGATGTATCTGCTTTCGATCACTCAGTTACGACTTACAAGCTATAATACTTGTCACACAACGAGTGGCTTTCATGACTCAGTGGTACAGAGGATAATGCTATGGATTTGAGGTGGTTAGTGTGGGGTTTGAGTATGAGGGGGTACAACATCACTCACTGAGAGACCGGTGCATCCAGATGACAAAGCTCACGTCCTACATTCCACTTTTAGCCACTATCCATCATTAATAGTTACTTTGAGGCTTATCACAACATGACATGGTACTATGCTACGGCATGGGTATCTGAGATAGCCTTTATGTTCATTGTTGTAACTAATTGGTCAGTGAGTAACCTTCAGTGACTTTCAGTTCATCACTGGTGATATGAAGCAAGATGTCTCACCTTTTTTTTTACTTCGTCAAAACATTTTTTATACAAACACACTAACGTATTCTATATTACAATGATAATTAGTCAGTTGGTTATATTTATATCCCTGTAATCAAGTGATAGAGAATTATCAGTGAGAAGTAGAGCCTTTCTAATAGTCAGTTTTAACGATTTCGTTTGTCGTGAAATCGAAAATGACCCAGTGATAAAACTGGTAACCTTGACAGTGAGTCATATAAGTTTGGATCTTAGTAGAAATATGCTTCTCCACAAGGTTACAGATATACCTTGTGGTTTGGTGTTCACAAATGTGAAACCTTCTTCAACCATTCTTCAAACTGTTGCAATCACAAAAGCAGAGCACCATAAATTTTGTGCAAAGTAGTTAAATAACGCGTTCACTATTTACTAAGTTATATCAATGCAAATAACAATGACAACAGCAAAATTGTCTGCATAGTCAAGAAAGTAGTAACAAGTGTACTGTAATTGACAGTCACTTTTGTACCCTTTCCTTAGATAATCACCCAGACAACATCTTAATTTGATTTACATCAAATATTTCACTTTATTATTTGCTATAATGACTTCAATGGTGACGCTAGCAACTGCTAAAATAACCAATCAGATTTCGGAATTTCAGCTAGGAAGGCAGTTTCTCATGGGGTGGAGAAAAGTAAGGAATTATTTCAACAGTTGCTGGGATGACCTTTAAACTTATGCTAATATAAAATCTAAGCCTGGTTATAAAGTCAAGCATTTACAAGCACATTAATGTTCTCAAAAAACAGCCTGGTAGTCGACATTCATGCATACAAGACAGTCTGTAACCGTTAGTTTCGGTTACTTTGAAGGGAATAACTATAAAGCAAGTGAATGTGGATTTATGTCCAAACCCAATGTGAACGTATGGTTATCTCATTCGATGATACATGTTTTTAATAAACTAATTCTCTATGTCTTTGAATTTTTTATGAATATTATAGCTTCCTCGTTTTCCCACTGAACAAGCCATCACTCGGGAAACAATCCATCAATCTCAAGAGTCGACGATATTCTTGTGTTCTGATCATATAGTATTGACACAATGGCCACTAGATCCTCAATCGTTTCTATCAACTGGTGACTTGGCGCATATAATCCCTTTGTATGAAGTATGGTGTGATACATTGAAACCTGAAGCATTATTTAGTCGATCAACATCCGTAACAAAATCTACCGGTATTAACAAGGGCAGTCATAGTCAAAAACACATGAAAACTTCAGAAATTGATATTGACAATGCAAAGTGTAATGTGTCTTCATCGTCGGGCATATCGACAGCTAGTCTAGAAGACGCTGAATCAAACAGTCCATCTATTGATAATAACCAGTCATTGGATAATGAAATAAAAATTAGGGTTACAGAATCATCTTCAACAAATGAGACTAGCGTATCTACCGATACTAGTCTCCTGTTACTTGTTGGTCGTCCATTGACAGAGAATTGGGCGATACGATTTTCAAATAATTCTCTCTGTGAAAAGTGGGAACATATGATAAATGAGTGAGTCAGTCAACTCCACATTTTTTTCTTTGTAGAAGTTAGTCATTAATTTAAGCAGCACGGTACAAAAAAAACGACAAAAACCAGAAACCAAGTCGTTTGATAGTATTGATTTAAATAAAGTTGAAGAAAATATTATGTCCTGATTAAATACCAGCTTGTTGGTGAGTTAAATCGGCAAAATCCAAGGTCACTTAAAATCAAATCTAGTGTCAAGGTCAGTCAGTAGATTAAAGACGCACAAAAACAACTAGTTTACTGTCTACACCTACGCATACTGTGAATCTACTGATTAGGTAAGTCAAACTATGGTAACAGTCAATGTGAGCAGTCGAAAAAGCCATTTTAATCCAGAGATATCTAAGGAGTATCCAAGTTTAATGAAGTAATAGAATAAACAGATGTTAATTGTGAAGGTTCAGTCTTTCATTTCTTAGTGAGCTTTTTGTTAAGAAAAACAACAGTTTCCAAGAAAATTAGACCTGGAAAATCCCTTTATTATTGATTAGATTGTTCAAAACCACCGTAATGACAGTGTTTTGTCAGTGCTATAAGAATGCTACCAACATTACACTCTGGACATAATTTATGTTCGTTTTATCGCATTAATCCAAGTTGTAGTGGGTGGTTGGGACAGAAGCGAGGATGGCGGATTCTGCGACGATCATAGTAGCCTACTAGAATTCACAACACATCCATATGGACAAGACAGATAATAAGTTCTTTGTAACGGTATGGAATTAGAGAGTGAAAGTGAAACATGATACTTATGTGGTTATGCAACACTAAATTACTATAACATAAGTTGACGAACATACGAACGCCCTTAAATAAAACAAACTACAACTTCATATTAGATTGTTTATCTAATATGGCTCAACTTCATCGACTTTCAAAAGGCTTTCGATTGAGACGTTGACCGAGAAGTAATTTGGCAGGCAGGTGCTTCAACACTCCGGTTTTTGTGCCACAAACCATTATCAATCTCATTCAACAGCAGCTAAATCCTATATGACGATGCTACATGCCAAGGATTCACAGTGGAAAGCTCAGTGATGCCTTTGAAGTGAAGACAGGAGTAAAACGAGGTAGCCTACTATCACAGATGATCTTATTGATTGTGGTTGACTGAAGTGGATCATGCAACAAACTGTGAGAACTGTGAGAAGGTGGGCATACGCTGTTTGATCGATGAAAAGAGCGAAAAAGATTTGGATTTTTCCGATGATGATTTCTGTCTTATGTCGCACAAGCTTGTAGATCAACAGATAACTAACAAGTTGACAGAAGATGCAAGTCAGTGAAGACGGGACTTCAAGTGAATGTAGAGAAGACAGAGGTGGTGAAGATACCCAACCAACAACCAACAAACACCAATCACTATCGACGGAGTGATCTAAAGGAAGTTGTCTCTTTCACCTAACTGGGCAGGCAACATCGTCTAAACTACAGGTGGCGACTGTACAGATGAGGACGTCTAAGCCAAAATCGAGAAATCAGGACAGACTTTCATTAACCTGAAATCAGTGTAGAGATCTACTGCACTGCACTGCACTCAGTATAAAGCGTAAACAGGATCCGGATCTTCAACACCAACGTCAAGTCAGTGCTTCTATATGGTTAAGACACTTGGCGCGTTATGAAAAGTATTTCCAACAAACTACAGACATGCATCAACAACTGCCACCTACACTCTATATTGAAGATCACATGGCCAGAATAACAGGAATAAGCAACCAGAAACTATGGCTGGCTGGCAACGAACCAATCAACCAAGGATCTATTGCCCAACAAATATACAGACGAAAGTGGAGATGGATTGGATTGGAAACAGACTGAGAAGACCATTTAGGGACATCACGCATCAGACCACGCTCTGAAGTGGAACGCAAAGGGGAAACGACGACTTAAGCCTCTGAGGTGAGAGTGACATGGAGGAGATCATGTGAGGTAGAAATGAAATCTTGTGGGCAGTGGTGGAGCCAGGCTGAAAAGACTGCAGAGAAGAGAGTGAAATGGTGAAGTGCCCCTGAAGCCCTATGTTCCAGTAGGAACTCAAGGGACAAGTAATAATGTAATAATAATCTAATGTAGCATATAAAGATGCAGTATAACTTACTGGATGACATTTCGAACAGAATTTATCGCTCATATTCATACTAAAGTAATCGTACAACTTTCAAACTTTTTTTCTATTCTCCAAAAGTTCATTCATTTATCTTTAATGGCAATAAAATATTCCAGATATCTCCAATATATCGTGAATCAATTCCTGTTACATATTTTAGGTGTTGATTCAATGAACAAAGATTCTGTGATCAATCTCTCACTCTACCTAGCCAACTATATTGGATTTTAAAATTGTCACCCCATCCCACCCACCTCATAGTGTGATTATGGATCGGTGCATGCAGAGCCGTCGCCATTTCCCCCAGATTACTTACCTTAATAGGGTCAACCATTGTATACTTTGCTAAATTTTTGTGTTCTGTTATTCTAACTGACCTACATCGGCTGCTTTGACCACACAATCATTACATGGTATCGGATAGGTTAAAAGTTATTTTTCTTAATTGGCTCTATTGGATCTTCTAGTCTACAAAGTTTCTCTTTGGGAGAGTTTGTGGTTTAAATAGCGCCCTAATCCCAGCATTGTGAAGAATTCTACTTAAAATTTCCAATGTACGTTCTTTATATGGCAACACTACAAAGGATTTGAATTCCCTCTTAGAAATGTTGCTACCACCGTTAACACTACCATTTGTTCTCTTATCAGTCCTTGTAAACCTTTTTATAAATTCTGGAGGATAGTTATTAAAAGTACTGTCTCTGTGATGTATTTCATTTCCTTACTTGGTTTTCCCGCTTATTAACCAATCTTCTAGCCCGATTACTTCAGCACTTTATCAAACCTACTTTGACATTTATCGGGTGAGATGATATGAAATCCAGTATCTACTTAAACGTGATGGTATCCTAGAAACACTGGTATCTAAGCTGACGTCTTCTCCCCTCTGGATTTAGCAATCCAACATCGATAATTCTTCTTCTTCATTTTCTAATTCATAAGTGAATTGGATTACATCGAGTTAGTGTGTGCGAAAAACTCTTGATTTGTCCCAGTTTCAGCACAGTTAATGCATCATCTACATATTGGTGCTATTTTTTTGGTGGGATTGGTTGGAATGTTCCTAATGCTAGTTGTTTCCAACTCTCCATACATATGTCTGCTATGATTGGAGATATTGAAGATCCCATTGACACTCCCTCTATTTGTTTATATATTTTGTCTTGAAATTTGAAAACTGTAGAAGTTAAACATAATCTTACCCCTAGCATAATTTCTTCAATCAAAACTTTAGTTTTATTACTTGCGTTCATGATCAGTTGTTAGTTCATCACTGACTGCCTCGTGCTATATTTATTGGTATATTTGTATAGAGGTTAATTACATCAAAACGTCATCCAGTAAATTATACTGTGTCACTGTGTGCTACATCAAATAAATAATCTTACATGGAATTATGCTCTACCATAGTTCTGAAGTGTTTTACTTACATTAACAAACCACAATGTCAATTGTATAAAGTATCACTGAAAAGCAATAATGTGTGTGACATAAAAGAAAATAGAAATGATTTAGATTATGGAAGTTGTTCGACAAGCGTACCTAAGCCCACTTTCTTGGCAGGCTTCTGTTTGTGCTCAGTCATTCGTTCCTCACAACTCAATCAGTTTAAAAATGAACATGCCGGTTACTTAGTGGCCAAAAGTTCTAGAAAACTGTCCAAGTAGCCTACAGGTGTATTCAGCTAAAATTAGGTTCGGTACATGCTCTATTCCTGTTATAATTGTCCGATTGATGGGGACTAGGAAAAATCATCTTATTTGTTAAACGGATAGTGATGTCCAGTAAGGCGTTAGGTTTCACTTTAGGTGACCCCATATACTAGTTCTTGTCTAAAAGTCTTTTCATACTACTCTTTTTTTCTTACACATAAAATGCTGCATCTTTTCTGTCTTTTCCATGCTTCCAAATAACAATAAAATTATGAAAAACAAACAGATCCATAAAAAGGAATCAACAGATATTTGAAGGGAAAACAATAAATGTAAAGGTGATCAATCAGATTATTCCCAACCATCAAGTAAGATCTTTTGTCTTTGCTGCATTTTTGTTCCTGTTATTGTCTTCTATTACATTTTTATTTATAGTAGGCAACACGCGACACAGTGCATCTTCTGTTGGGTTCACTTTTTTTTTATTACATATATGTGCGTTTGTATGGCTGTGGTTACGCCCTCCTCTGGGCTCATCAGCCGCTTTTGATAAAAAGAGAACCATCTGTATAGTCATATATTGACAAAATGTTTTGTGATTCTATTGATATATTCGGGTTAAAGACCATTTTTGTCACGAAACGGAGCAGTAGAAGAGTTTATTAATATGCTGGAGCACTAAAACATCATTCTCATGCGTAACCCTTAGCAACGTTCTGTGACATCTAACACTTTGAGGAAAGCACGTTATTTATTTGGATAAAGGTGCGCACCAGTCAGTACTGTATTCGATCAGGTCATCAGGTATATGTCTCTTGTTAACGCTGTTCAGAACAGATAAAAGTTATAAGCTATTCACTAACTCTTGTTTAGAATGGGTAGTCAATATGAAACATGATGCTTAGGAGATCTGTAGAGTAAAGCGAATAGTGTGCTATTGATGAGAATGGCAAGGGACAACGATTTGGCAGTACTGATATGTAGTTTTAGAAGCTTTCGATAACTTTACAAATCTACTTCAAGGTGAAGATGGTCAGTCAACCCATTCATTGGTTTACAATCCAGAAACATGCATGTGATAGAAAAAAACCTAATGTAGACCATTTTTACTGAAAACATTCGATAATGAGACACACTTCTTGTTCTTCTAACCATTTTATGCAATATCAATTGACTTCAACCCTCAGTTGCGTTCTAAAGTTGATAAACCGGATTTATTAGTGCAGCAATATATTCTGTCTCAATAGAGAATGTGAATTACTTAATCAGACATATACAACTGAAACGAATCCCCAATGAATCAGTGAGTACCTTTAATCATCAACCATTTAACATATAACTTTTTCCGTTTTCCTGGATAGGATTTCTGTATGCCTGTTGGAATCAGGCATGTTACTTTTGAAGACTAAAATTTCATCACCTTTCTTTTATTCGCTCTCAACCCAGAGTTTCAGGAATTTGTCTCAATATTCATCGATAATACAGAACACAGTAGAAAAAAAGAACAAGGTGAACTGTCCCCACTCATCAAGTCTTTACAGCGATTGGCTGTCTGTATGACATCAGCTAGGCTTATTGTTCACTAGATGGTTGTGAGAGATAAACTGTGCCACCTGAAACGTTCTGTGTAACGCATCTGGATAAAACATATCATTTCTCGAATGGATGACTGAAATAAAAACATTGATAAAAGGTTGTTCGTGGTAAGTGAGAAAGTACTCCTAAACGAATGCAGTTTGCAGAGAGCCGTAAGGACAGAATGTTAAACATTGTGTAGTATTCTGTCTGATGACTAGCAGTGGAATCCAAGACGCACATTTCGTCCTATTTGGGACTAGTCATCTGGACGTACCCCCATCCCAGTAAGTGATGTTGTTCCCTCAGGGACTTGGACCCAGCACCATCGCTTCAAAGGCCAGGGCGTTATTCACTAGGCCACTGGGGCATAAGAGACACTTCTTGTGAAACTGGCATCATTTGTTGTCGGATACTTGTAATGCCTTAGCGTTTGTAGTGATGAGTAGTAGGTCTGAGTCTGTGTGGGAGCAGAGGCACATAATGGGGTTCTGACGCGCCACAAATAAAAAAAATGCGTTTCCCGAATTCCAGTACTGACCACCAAGCAGAATACAACACAGCGAGTAACCGGGTATTATCGAGGCCTCCGCACATTTGTCATCTCCCAACTGTAGTAGAACAATTCAACTCATTATAGCAACGGGAGATTACAAGTATCAGACAACAGGATATTAAACATTTACTGTTTAAACAACACCTGGGTATCCTTCATGCACACTTGCCGCTAGTTATACAATATTTAACACGCAATATCTTTTCATCATGTGATCATTTTCTACCGTTATTCAGTTTTGCCATGATAAACTTGGTGACCATGAGGAAAAATACTCAACGATGATATTGGGTAGCAATCGCTGTATATCGTGAACTGACAAAAGTTGGAAACATGGACCAGTGGCTTAGTGGTAACGTGCTGACCACGAAACCTGAAGGCTGAGGGTTCGATCCCTGACGGGGTTGGGGTGCGCGTTGCTGAGGAGTATCGTACTAAGACGAAACAGCTGTTCAGTGTAGTCGAAACAAGATTTTGTTGTGTAGTGGAGTTTTTATTGAATTGTATCCGATGCAACCTTCATACTTCTCCTTTTTTTTATATTTATTTACATGCACTGATTTAGCTTGCTCACTGATCGATCGATTAGTATGTTTAAGTGACATGCTAGTAACAACTACTTATAATTCGATAATAGCATTGTGGCACGTGGTTATATGCTATGAGTTTAATTACAAAAAGAAAATTGAAAAGTTATACAAGTTTATAGAAGTTTGCATGTATTCATTACATATTTCTAGAATAAAACGATAAGTCATTCAAGAAAGAGGATTAACAATTGTACATGAATTAACTTTCAATCAAACTGGGTCAATCTATGACAAATCGCCTAAACGACTGATTACTTAACTATCATGGGATGTGTTCATAATATTAGTCTTCAGAATAGATGAAAATATACTTAATGCATATGAACCAGTTTTATTCAGTTAGTCGGTTTCTGGAGAACAGACTGATTGCAAATAAGTTTTCATTGTGAAGTAGCATCACATGAATGACTAAACGCTAAACTACCAGTTTTCCATAGACAACTATATTTAGTATATACTAATGGTTGGTTTCAAGAGAGTTTTCTTGAAGTTATAGTTAGTGAGCCTGAGATTTGTAAGAGGTGGGAAGAAAATCGGAGTAAGGAGAGAAGCTCACCTATGACAGAAGTTATCGAATCTCTGGATGCATAGATAGTTTCTTAATGACTGGTAGACTAGGATGAAGGAGAAGAAACAGATTTCAAATAGTATCTGAAATGGTACCAACAAATGGTAAAAACCATCCTACATTTAGCTTATTCTTCGTGGTTGATAGTTCATTGAAGAAGTCCTAGAAAACAGTTCTTTCGACGCATTAGAATGTTCAGCCATAAAAGTATTTCAAGCAGTGACCTTTTAGTTATTCATCTACTGCTTTGCCTTTAAAATTAACTAGTCTTGGTGCTAACAATGCTTCAATATCGATTTATTCGCCATTTACTGGGACACTGGTTGACTGAAAAAATCATAGTGGAACCATGCACACAAGTAAAACGGCTCAACTTGCCGCATTTAACAGTAGTTCACAAAGAAAGAGTGGATAGAAAAAGATTGATATCAAAGTAGATAAAGTTGTTTGGGAGAAAAACAATTGGAAATAACGGTTAGTGCGAATATTTAAGCTTTAGAAGATGTCAGGGAGTGAATACCTCTCCACCATTGTGACCAGTTCTCAGCCATATCACAAGAGTCCTCAACCACTGATTCTTTACGTCTCGAGGAACTCAACCAGAAAGTCTACACTCGGTGGCTTGCGTGAGACTGAAACCCCCTTAGGATGTAGGCCTCATACCTCTCAGTCGACTGGTCACCGGTTCGTATTCGTCACAACCAACACTTCCTCTCAACTTCGGCTGAGATCAGCTAATCTGTTAGCCCTCATTTGGCGGCCGCTACCTTTCTTACACATATTTCATCATTATTTAAACTTGAAAAGAGCATGAATTAAAAATTTGAATAGAATGCTGGGAATTCCTCTTGTAATACCTAGTGATTAGAACTGCTGATATGATTTTAGTATTTGTTGTCATTAAGGAGTGGGAGATCACAGTGGGGAAAAGTCGGTAGCATACAAATAACGCCTCCAAAGGCAATATGAGTATTTTATGAGCACCTATGCTAGTCAACTGGATATTTGTATAAAGCAATATCTCATTGCAAGAGGATATGTTTTGGAAGGGAGATTATGCAAGTCAGCTGACAATGAAATTCTATACTAACTGTAAAACGGAAAAAAGGGGAAGAAACATCAGTATTGCTTCTTGTAAACGGGATTTCTGTCATAAGCTGAGTTCAAAGAGAAAGACAATGAACAGCTGTTTCTTCATAGTTTTAAATTCCCCAGAAATGCACACCCCGCGACTTCATGTGAAATCATACGAAGGGGTCCCTGGTCTCGAGGTTTGTGCATTACTACTAAGTCACAGAGTTAAAATTCAGTATTCGATACTTTCTGACTGTTGTCACTTCGTGGCACAGAATGGTTCTTTTGCTCATGTCAGGTTGATGATGAAAATCTCTTTTGGATTCAGTCAGTTTACCGCATACCTGCTACTTGAATAGCAGTGCTATGCTTGTTGCTGATATGATCTTAGCTGAAACTTCAGATATTCTATTAAGAAACTGTTGTCTTTGAGGTTAATAAAGTCGCCTGTGAAACGAATACTCGTTGATGCCACTGAGTGTTGGTCATGCTATTAAAACCTTATTTTCAACTAAATGATTCACCACAAAGCTTCGTGTTCAGTAGCGTCTTTTGGTTTGACCACTATACATCAAGCATTTAAGTTATATTAGAATCTCAAAGAACAATTGAACAACTCGACCACCAAATCAAGGCAGCATCGATCCTCTTGCAATTCAGACAAATATAAATTAATAACTACCTCTAAGTGCATAAATCTGATCTGACCACTGGTCTCGATAATTTTAACCTAATAGAAACAGTTTGAGCTTTATAGCCTGTTTACTGACTTCAGTGATTGAATGTTTTTTGGAATTAGTGTGATTACACTATTTTAAACGGCTCTTGACCTATACTTCGACATCTCTTTAGGATTTGATAGAAAATTTTGATGCTGTATGCCCTTTGAGTACTTCTGTTCTGACTGCTTTTGAGATAATTGTAAGTTGATGCATATGAGTTGAGGCAAAATGGACTTTTATAACTTCCATCATATGATTCCACCAGTATACCAATTCTTTAAAACACGTGGAAGGAATTCCGTAAATAAGACGTTCCTACCAATATAGTGTTCACCTCCTCCACATATTGTTTATCTGGTATCATTGTGTAACTGGAAGAATGTTGGAGTCCGTGAGTTTAGTTCATCCAACGGTAGCTGAGTACTCCAGTATGATTAGGAAATTGTCTCTCAAAGCAGTCAACACAAATTTCAAGTAACTAATTCTCCTTTGTGAGCTAGTGAATATTATTAGTTTAGGAAAATAGTCAATTTGTTATACCCTTTCGAAAAATGGAGTTCTTAGCCGTGGTATCTGTTCCATGCTAGATATCGATGTATTGTTCAAATGGTATCTTGTTGAAGATAGCTGGTTTAAGATATATCCTTCCAAATTCAATTGTGATTATCATTTTACAGAATGGGCAAACAGTCTTTAAAACTATTTATTGATATACTTGTAATTCTCAGTTGTTTTATTGGATCGAGTTGTTCGACCTCTGTTGGCATATGGGCTCCTATGCGGATGCCTTGATATTGCTTGGGTGTTTATCATGGTAATTTTGTTGGTTATGGCTAGCGGAGGAATCCTCCGTGGTATAGTGGATAATTCTTGGAGTTTAAAGCGATGGATGCAAGGTTTGAGTCTCAGTGGGAACAACATCACTCCGCGCTGGGATGCAGGTACATCCAGCTCAGGAGTCCAAAACAGGAAGAAAAGCGCATCCTGGATTCCTCTGCTAGCCACAGCCAGCAAAATTACCATAATTACCATTTGGGCAATATCGAGGCATCCTCATAGGAGCCCAGATGCTAATAGAAGTCGAACGGTTCGATCCAATAAAACAACGGAGAATTACAAGTATATTAATAAGTAGTAATAACTATAACCCGTTGTACAAGAATTGGCTATCATTTCTCCATGGCATAGTGAATAACGTCTTGGCATTTGAAGCGATGGATAAGAGGAACTATTGGTTAGAGACCCGAACGATGATGAAAATCAATATTTAACAAAAGGATGAATATGATTGGTTGATAAAAGTTCACTAGATATTTCCACCAATCAAATGCTTTCAACTAAACGAAGATCAACTTTATGATTGCAATTTTTTCTGTTTTCAGTATTCACCTTAAAGAAAAATGGTTTATTGATGCGTTTTATTTGATCACTTCTTAGGTAATATATAAATACCATAATGTTCCTATTCACATGACAGCTAACCATTTGAAAGAGAAGGCATTAGAGGCACTCAATACCAATGTGGTAAGTGTTGATGACATTTCCTTCCGTGTAATCAGTATAATATGGACAATTTTTTCAGAATATTTTTTCTTTGAGTTAAGAAATTGAATAAAATGGCATCTAATAGGTATTCGAACCGAAATTTCTCAGTAAGACCTGTTAACTTGTTGAATAAAAAGGGTGAGACCATAAAGAGTGAAGTATTATTCAGTATTTTCAGATTGAATAGTTCTCTGAGGTGTATTCTTGGTCAGCGAACTGTTTTGTGTTATGCTAGGTATTGTCAATGAATAGGAATTTTTTGCTTTGAATTATCAGTGATTCTAGCTCGAATCTTGATGACCTACTGAAATTTAACATTTTCTGATTTCATAGTGCTCTATTTTGCTGTAGCATGGCTTAGATTTGCTTGATTTAGATCTTCAGGTTGTACTTCGCCTGGTGTACCTTAAAGTTTGAAACAGTTTGCCTTTGACTATGACTGATTCATGTTGTTGTTGTTTTTTTAGACCTTCAGCTATTGTAACGTAGGAAACTTGTGACCCTATAACATTTCCCCTCATAACTGACTAACCATATTGGCGCATTATATCACCCATTCATTTTGAATACTTGTACATTTCTCTTTGACTTTAAATCAATGCAGTTAGTTAAAACATAATGTCAACTGTTAGTATAGTATTTAGTTTGGTTGGTGCAGTCTATCATATGGTGTTCTAGCGGGAGGTGAGAGCGATATACATTGAACATAAAAGATTATCATAAAGTTTGGACATCATCTAAACCCACTGACGATCCATGTAGAGTGCTCACTTGCCAAACATCGTATTCGAAACTTGAATGTTACTATAGGTTTAGAGGAGGTTGACGCATGAGAACTGTTCACACCGTGGAAAGCCACTTTTTAAGATACCGCGACGTATGCAACTGGGTAGTATTGCTTCACCAATGTGATACTTGGACCTTACTAGGGCTCTTAGCCATATAGCTGGTGGTCTATCTAGAAGCTATACCATTTTACTGCCGTAATAATACACTAAATTAATAAACTTCACATGGAATGAGACTACAGAAATAAAAGAGGATTTTCGACCGAAAAGGATGAAATATTAGAACAAATGCGAAGAAGGAATTGTCGTGATTTTAAACCAAGCTTGAAGCTCTTTATCTTCACTAACTGATTGTTTTGCCCATGTAGCTTGAGAATACTTTAATGACGCCCTTAGACTTCGAACACAAATGCAGATAACCTTCTTACCGAGTCTGCAAGGTGACTTAGGTTGTTATCCCAGATCTTATTGACCTGACAGCGTGAACATAGTATCCAAGGGAAATTTTTTGAAGCCAGTCAGATACTCTCTTTTGAAGTATATGATTCAAATTTCATTTCATTTAGTCTGTACTTAATAGGAGGCCTTACTGTCTGCGCTCGAAATCCTTTAAATAAGCAGGTGTATTGAATTAAGGATCAATGTTTTCCAAATCTTTGTCTTAACCAGAGCTAGGCATCACTCTTTATAATTGTTATATCCCAGTACACTTAACAAAACTATTCTATCACTTTGACTATTTGAGACAGCCGTGGTTTGGTAGACTTGTAGTGATACTGGGTGATGATTGCAGGTGAAAATAAAATTTGGACCACGGGTGATGGGGCAGCAGATGTGCCTGTCATGCAAAATCCTTTCTGACTAAAGTCAAATTAAAATTAAGTTGGCAGTTGGGTCTGGTCGCTCAATTGGTACAGTACCAGGCCCAAAATCCGGTAGTCACTAGTTCGAATCCTGACGAATCACAAATTTTTATTTTACTTTCAATTATCATTTAATATCGCGACTGTTTTACCCTGGAATTTGAGATCGACTGTCTCTTGAATCACCATTCTCCAAGCGACTTCTTTTGGTTGTTTGAGAGGAGTTCAGGGAACAATCATTCCTCATGGTGTTTCTCGATTGGATAATTATGATAGTTTTGTTTAACCACCTCAACAAGGTGAAACGTATAGTCAAACGTTTTAGCTTTTGAACTGGAAAATAAAATCCTCTGGTGTGTATACACATTGAAGTGAGGTTTGAATTATCCTGTAAGAGTTTGGGAAGGTTACGTGAGACATTATGCTTAGACAACATTTGCATTTTTGGTATCTTTCCAAATATTATCTCTTTCAATTCAAAATTGATATTTTTAGGACAATGTCACTGGAGTCTTCAAACTGTAATAGATCCTCTGTATGACTAGATTATACAGACTAGTGGGTGGTGAATAATGTAGGCGTCAATTCCTTTGTGTTGATTGTAATGTCTACTGTACTGTTTTTAACTATTAAGGTTTCATCACTGATGTAATCATTATGGACGATGCGCTTTCGTCTAACAAGATGTGTTAATTGACTACTACATTACAAAAAACTCATTAAATCGCTGTCTTGGCTAGTCTAGTGTTTTACTACTTTGTTAATAAGATCAACATGAAGAGAGTTCAGGTCATTGGAGTAAATTCACTTGAGAGTTACTGTTAATGATGCGGCCATTTCATTGAAGATAAAAGTCTGAGTGACTGTTTCCGGTGTACAAGAATATATTTTACTTTACGTAAACACATTATTCACATAAGTTGCTGCATACACGGTTATTTTGATGATTATCAACTGAAAACAAGTGACTGATGAAGACTAATAGTGAGGTTGGAAATAAATTACGTCATGCTAGCTAGACATATGGATTTTCTAGTCACATTGCATCGATATTGTTTGTATTAAATCCTATTTTTCGATACATAGCGAATTTTTCTAAAACTATGTGTATATGGATCCATTTGGTTTGTAAACAGTTGTGTTCCTCACACTTCGTTACCTTGACAAACTTGAACAAGGGAGGAAAGAATGGATGGGCAGAAAAAAAGTGACGTTATTTTATTTCACGCACACTCATCAGCTGCGTACAAGCTAGAACTATATGGCTTAGTCGAGATAAATGATAATTTCTACACGATAAGATCAAAATTGCTCCATCTCTGAAAATTTTGTCAGATAGAAACAGATTCCAGTGGAGAGAGTTTGTTAGACAATTTAATCTTACGAATAATCAGTCAGAAAACAGAGAAATAAGTGAATGTGATCAAAATGCATTAGATACAAAGAAAGATATATGTAACCCAGAATAACATCGCATTGCTAGGAGAAAAAAAGATCAACTACAGTCTCTTTTAAGTGTCTCATTGCAAGGGTTTGGTGAAAGCACAGTGCAATTCTTGTTTATTTTCCCAAAAGGCTTTAGAGATATATATTTATTGTTCAGCGTCCATCAGCTGGCTGACTATTCCACTTGTAAACTTTTCTTTTTTACAGACATGAATTTCTTGGGATATGCTCATATAATCTGGTAGGTGTGATCAACCACTTTAAACCCGATTCATCGGCTTAGATTGCCTAGCAATTCGTTTCCCTTGAATCTGTTTCTATCTGACAATATTTTCAGAGATGTAGCATTATCGATCTAATCATGTATGAATTGTCATTTATCTTAACTAAGCCATTTAGTTCTCAGTTGTGCGCAGCTTCTTAGTATGCGCATACTCACATCCGTTCATTCTTGTCTTGTTCACATTCGATTTCTATATGAACTACATTTACTGTCAAAGTGCACTAGTGAGCTCAGCTCTATACCACTTAGACAGCTGTCCAATGCTTCGAACACTGATGTAACTAGTGATATCTACAGATCATCATTAGAGATTCCCAATCATTCATGTTATTTTATAATGGTATAGGTCACTAGCTAATGATATTTTATTAATGCTGATCATCTCGTTTCCCATGAAAATTCTATTGACAGATAGTTAAACTAGTCAACTGCGAGATATATCACTGTTTCAATTTCCATGTACACTACTGTGACAGATCTCTTGAGTAGAGAAGAGCAGAACATACCAATCTCATTTGAAATCATAGATACACGGGTGAATAAAATGCGGCTTTTCATCATTTTTACTGAATTACATGATTACCATCATTTATTTATTGGTAAAACTAAGTAAATTCGGTGAAACAATGCTCACTAAACGTTTTGAATTGTATGCATTTACAGGTCAGTAGAATTTCCTATTCTCTCCTTTCCTGATACTTTATGAACAATGATTGGCTGTTAAAAGTCTAGTGTATACTCCCAAGACGTTTGAAGTAATATGTCCTGGGTGAGAGTCACAGTGAGAACATGGAAATGGATGTAGACTATACTCAGTTGATAAGTACTAAACCAGTCAAAACACACTGTCTAGATTCCATTGCTACCTACTACCACATTTGTGTGCAAATTGGTTCAATTTGAAAACCGGTAGATTGAAGAAGCATACCTTTCCATCAAGGTCCTATCAGGTTCAATAAGAAATTAGGTAAATTTTATACAGTGCGGTACACACATAAGCAGTGAGGGTGTTATGGCAGAGGAAAGCATAAATATCCACCTCATTTAAATGAAGTCACTCAACGAGAAATACGGCAAACAATCGTACCACTGACCAGCCAAATGAAACATCACGCTAAAATGAACACTGAAGAACAGAAAACATTAAAAATGGCTGAAAAAAGGGAAAGACATAGTATACTTCCTGCAGACAAGGGACGCACTACACTAGTTATGGACAAAGAAGACTACATCAGGAAAGCAGAAGAATTACTCAAAAACGAAAATGTATATCAACTACTTGAAACCAACCCTATCCAAAAGTTCGACAATCAGATCAATAAAACCTTAAACAAACCCTTCAAAGCAGAAGAAATAACAAAGCAAGACAAACGGAGAATGAAATCGAATGGACCTGTCCTTCCTTGGTTCTACGGCAGACCAAAAATACACAAACCATACATCTCTCCACGACCAATTGTCTCACTTCCAGGAACTTCAACAAACAACATATCAAGAGAACTTTCGAGAAAACTTAAACGCCTAGTTCAATCTTGCGGACATTCCATCAAATCACCAACGGAATTCTTAGAAAAGATCAAAAACATTATTATAGAAAACGATGAACAATGATATCCTTCGACGTCACAGCACTATACACATCCATCGAACCCCAATCGGCCATGGAAACTATGTCCATTCTGCTCAACGAAGACACAAGCCTCACAAAACACACAAAACTCACACATTCAAGTCTGATGGAACTCATCAACCTCTGTCTGACAACACACTTCCAACTCAACGCCAAGATATACAAACAGATGAAAGGAACTCCAATCGGATCACCGATATCCAGACTGATTTGCAGAAGCAGTGATGCACAGACTGGAAGCCATCATCCTACCTGTGATCAAACCGAAATTCTCGATTCCCTATATGGACGACACTTCTGTCATCATTGAAAAGGATGATATAGAAAACACCCACAATTCGATCAACAGCGTTTTCACTGACATTTAATTCACAATGGAGAAGGAGTCAAACAACAAACTACCATTCCTGGATGCTCTGGTCAATAGAACAAATACTGAGAAGATAGAAACCCAAGTGTACAGGAGGCCAACACACACTGACCAAGTCTTCAATTACACTAGCAATAACCCAACAACCCACAAGATCAGTTGAGTGCAGACTCTATTCAGAAGAGCGAGAACACACTGCAGCACAACAAATTCACGGAGAAACGAAGAAAATTACTTGATGTCCACTCTAAAGAAGAACAGCTACCCACGAAACCTTATCAGAACATGCCTATCTCGTACATCATCAACTACTGAGTCATCCACAGAAATCAATCAATAGACGCATCATCCCACCATACATAAAGAATATATCAGAAATCACGACAAGAATACTGGGACAAACCACTTGCAATTGGTGTGGCCACTCATAAACCAACAAATTCCCTACAAACACCATTATGCAGACAAAAGGATGCGACAAGCAAAGAAGGCAAATCGAATATCATTTACAAAATCAGCTCCAATAACTGTAGTCAACACTATATTGGATGGGGACGGAGTGGTCTCCCTCTTCACCTTCGTCAGCAGGAACACCAGTTGGCTAGTAAACGTCACGACATTTCATCACTCACATTTCAATGCATGTGGATAACAACTGTGGACATGAATTGAATTTCGACAATGTAGAAATTTTGTATGGAGAGAGGAAACACGAGGAATATCAGAGAATTCCTAGAAGCTTGACATTCATGCCAGTCAGTCAGTCAGTCGGTCAGGCAGTCAGCAATCAACAGATGTATAGACATAGGCCCAATCTACCAAACAATAAGGAAGATGATAAACAACAGAAAGATAAGAGGTCGAAGAGAGGAACAGGCAACAGGAAATCTATACAGTCAATGACACAACAATCAAAGGAAACAACCAATCACAGAGGACTTCGTCAAGGCAAGCTACTAAATCACTCACGGAGAGATATCGACAGGTAGCTGACTTCATGCAGAAGTTAGTGCTGATGATGTCGTCTAGAAGGACGATGAAGGCCTCATGATTAAACGACCCATCTCAGAGAACACAATACAACCAAGACCATCCACTTGAGCTACAAATATTCTCCATTATTTCAAACTGAGAAAGGTTGATATTCAGAGATCATCCCGTCAAGCTTACAACTTTTGTTCTACAGGAAGGCATGCAGACGTGAGAACAGTGCTTAAGAAACTAACTCAGCTGTACGCATGAACATAAGTAATAGCAACTATACTATTCTCATCTTCGAATGCAATTTTTAAGTTTCTGATCCATCCATAGCGATAAATACATATACTTCCAGCTGCTTTTTTGGTGTCAGTTTTTTGGATACACAGACCCTCAAAAATTACACTTCTACATAGTTCTTTCTTTCTTTAGTCACTTTGGAAACTGACGAGTAATTAACTATTGAAGCCATTTAGGTCTTTGAGACTATGACGTTATCAAAGGTGTCTACTATTAAGAATACCTGTGTTGGAATAGCATAATTGTTCAGCTGTTCTCAACTTTCATTCTATATTGATTTTCTTATTTGCCTTCATGATCCTTTGCTCATATGACATTGACATTGAAAGGAAAATATCCTGAAAATAAATAGTACTCCTTAAATTTAACCTTCATTAATTTTCTTTATTAATAATTTAAAGGGTAATACAAACGCTGAACTCTTTTTACGGTATACAGAATCGAATGGAGAAGAACGTGAAATACTGATGTATGGTAAGTGAAACCATTTCATATATAAAGAGTATTATTATAGTGTTTAGTGAGAGGTAATATGAAATAGACTAAGAGATAACCTATTCCACCGATTAGTGTACATTTCATTGAAATTATTGATAAATATTTTGGTTGGTAACAGACGTACAATTTCCAAAAATGAAGCCAGTTTTTCCTGAAACTGCTCATCTATTGGGAGAATAGTAGAGCTAGATCTAATTCAACTGTAAGATTCCACTTTAGTTTCAACTGGAAATAAAAGTGTTAAGATGAAAAATTGTTGTCTATTCATCCTCGAGAAAGGGATAAAAAAACGGCACTAACGACTAATGTGATCACGTGAAAGTTTATCAAATAGATGATTAGTGTTTCGGGACAAAAGACTGTTGATATAAATATTTATATATTTATTTATTTTGACTTGTATCTTCACTGAAGGCATATTAAATCTTACTTGTGTGCAAACAACTGTCATTTCTCTCTCTTTGTTATGTTCAATTAACTAGAACACCAAAATACATAAACGGTAAAGATCGAAGTACACCTACTGAAATTTTTGCTAATATAACGTGTAATGAACTCAAGATAATTCACCGTGGCCTAGATCAATCAGATATCGAATTAACCGATTGAATAATTGATCAGTTTCCGTCTCTCGTAACCTATTAGAGAGGAGGATACAACATATTTCTCTGTGCTATCCTATACACTTGAGATCTTGCAAATATTTAACACACTAAACAGTCTACTATATTTTTTATAAGCTTGCTGTTTTCAGCTTCATTCGTCAGTAATCAAATAATCCATTGAGGTGTCATGATGTTGTGATGCGTTTATACGATAATCTGTTCAACATTGTAAATCGATATTCTTAAATGTGAATAAGGTGCTAAACTTGGAATTTCAGCCAGAATATTCACCGACTATAATTTCTAGTATAATCTTGAAACTTTTTTAAAACAATAACCAATATAAAATGTAAGCTCATTTTGAGCAAAGTGCACACAATGATGTTCGATATGTATAATTGCTTGGTTCTATACTGGGTAAAATTGCCTGACCATGGCTGGTAGGTAGGCTGTAATGAAGATGCCTTGATAATACCGACAACTCATTATGTGATAATTTCTTTGATGGTTAGCAGTTCCCCAGGGGCCTAGTAGATAACGTTTTGGTGTTTGAAGCCATATGTCATTGGTTCGAGTCCCAGTGGAGGCAATATCTCTCATCTGTAGAGTCCCAAATAGGACGAGATACGCGTCCTAGATTCCACTAACAGCTGCCAAGCAGACTACTACAGACAATGATATTGATCAAGCTAGCTTAAGCCATTTTAGGTCATAAAAGTTGCCTAATTGTTTATCAAGAGGTTTCCGTAGCTTACTGTGTACAACAAATACACAATAGGGAGCAAAATAGATTCTGCTTATTCAGAGGTTTTTATTTCAAAAGTGGGTCAATCAGTTAATACTGCTTGATCTGATATCAATTGATGGACTCCAGTGATTCTAAAACCTCGACTTGTCTATTATGTATGATTCAGTTGAGGTGAGATTCATAAAGAGAAGTAGATGTAGTTGTGAAACATATGTAAATTTTGTCTTAGAGAACAAATGAAGCTACAGCATGACCAAAAGTCGAACAACTTGAATAGCTCAATGTTTAGATCTCTATGACTTTAGAAATGGTGCACTCTCGAATCTCTCAGCCATCAGTTTCCTCGAGTTTCGAGAAGTGTTTTCCTGATGAGTGCTAGGAAGCACAAAACCTAGGTCGAGCAAGACTTCCTGACGAATGCCTCCAACTATCTAGCATCAAAGTGTAGAGGTTATAGATGAAATACAAACCAAGAAGTAAGAATCTTACTGTTCAAACCAACCAACAGTTTGTAAAGAGAATTTTTAAGAAGAAGTTTTGTTGCTAAATGCCACGGGAATGACAGACTAGCAATTGGCAATTCCATCCCTTCTGGAGCTTAAGCAGGTCGTAAATGATCGTGAGGAGAGATGAAATGATGATTAAAGAAGTCAGTCATTTAAAGCACCAACGTCTAACCCTTGAAAGGTGTTTGGTAGAAGTTAGTTCAGACACATTTAGGTTAGATCGAACCGAATAAAAAATCATGCCAAAATCACTATCTCCATCAATTTGCCAGTCGCAGTTAGGATGAAGAGGAGAATGCCACTGAAAACTCTGCCCTGAACACTTTCACTGAAAAGTCTTCAAATGGCTTCAAGAAAAAACACTACATTACATATTGAACATTCAAGCTGGTAAGCCGGAGAAGACGGTCATTAATTAGATTTGTTCTACTTAATTATTCTTATATGCTAAGTTTAAAAACCCTGTGGCTGTCAGAAAATATCACTCTGAAAAGTTACAGTAATATTTGAACTGTTGTTTTTTATGTTACAGGTCCAGAAATCCCCTTCTTGATAGCATTTTCCAGTGTTCAGATGAATCACACCAGTTCACCATTGTTTCAACAAAATAACTCAGTGACAACAACAACTACTACTGTTATAAGTAGTAACAGCAATCCTAACAGTCCTGATGCAGTTATAGTCCTCAGGGAAAGGATATTTTGGATCTCATGAAAAAAGTATCATCCACGTCACCTCAGTCTGATGTTCGCATAAACGATAGCGATTATATAATTCCAAGAGATCAAGTTAAAGTCAGTTTTGTACTACGTCCTAGGGAGAAGAGTTCAACTGAAGATCATCAAACTCATCAAAGTAAGATATATTGTATTCCTTTCACAAAATATTTCAAAACACATTTGGTCCACGGTAGTAATTTTTTGTTAGTGTCATTTCCTACCCCTCCCCCATCACTCCCTGTGTCAGTTGCTGTCCAATCAAAATGAACAAGGAAACATCCCACGTGATTGGTTGCACGAAATCGAAAAGTACTATAAAATGAAGCAAACTGAAGAAGGGTTGCTATATTTTCATGATGAGTGACGATACCATCCGAAGTGTTGTAACCGAAAACGAACCAATCTTTTTGGAGAGTTTTTGTCTCGTCACGTTTCCGTCTTTAGAGTCTTTGAAGGTCGCCCTAAAGGTGTATGAGAAGTAGACACACACTTCTTTGTATGAGATTCCCATTTGCAAGGTGACTGAAGAGCCGACGTCAAGTTTGTTTGGTTTAAGGCTAGTGGACGCTGGCCGATAGATGGTGTAGTGATAAGAAGGTCAGTTCAGTCTGTCTTTATTATATACTTTCTAGAATATCCCTGAAATGCTCTTGTCGGGCATTCGTGCTCACGAAGTTCTTTGAAGGTTTCTGGACAGTAACTCGGTGGCTATGGATTTCAGCCATCTTATTCGGTTCAGTGTTAGGCAGCTCATGAGAAAAATAATGATAAAGGTGTAATGAAACTTAATCCGGTACGCTGTTCTGTCGAAGAATATTACTCACACTTAACTTATGAGGACTAACGATATTATCCGCTTTCCCAGGTTGAAGTAAAAAAGCATGGTTTAAGCCGAAGATGCACGGCCTAAATATCAAATCTTCTAGCCAATAACGTAGAAATATGACTAGGATTTGTGTTACTAAGTACTTTCATCATATCTGAAAGTTCAGTTCCTTAAGGTATATCAAGGTGGTAAACAAGGATCTCTGAATGGAATAAACAAACGGCCAACCGGTGGGTTCCTGATGTTCTTATTGCCCAACGCTGATAGAGTTTATGGATCAAGTGTACAATGTGACCATCAGACTAATGGATGCAAAACTGTAGTGCACCGTGTACCAGAGATAGATGTTGAAAGTCAATCAGGAGGAAGCCCTGCTTGTCAAGATTCATCTGAAAGGCATGAAAACAATCCTGAGAAAACTGATGTTCACTTGGTGATTCATACCCACAGCACAGTGCTAAATACAGACACATTATCATCCGGCTATTCAATCTCTTCTTCTCCAACTTCAAAACTATGTGACATAGGTTCAAACCATCTAGCGAACGTCAGTTTTCTCATGAGTGCTAATACGCCTTATTGATGAGTACCAACAAACATGAAACCCATAGGTTCTAGGCTTCCTGTTGACTAACTCTCAAATATATACCACCCAAAAAGGGACTAAGATGCACAAAAACATGTAAAGTGGTATGGCAGTCAGTTTTCACAGAATGATAACTTCACATTACCTCCTCACGATTGCTTCTGATGTTGATTGGTGTTACATTAAGTTTACAGTTTATATGATCGGTCATTTCATAGGGAACGAAGTCAAAAGCCTACCATTTCCTATCCTCATTGGACCATTGAGTGATTATATAAAGTCACAAAGGTTTTAACAGCTGTAGCCATCTCATATGATTCACTCACAGTCTGCACAAAACAGTCACGTAAACTATAGCGGGGATATCTTTTGCATATTAACTCAATAGGTTTTTCAACTTATTTTATAACCACGTAGTAGTACTCATCTACGTTCATTCCTCCTTCACAAATAGTATCACACGTGATTTAGCATCGTTTGTCCGCTGGTGACTTTAAGGGCCACCCAAAAAACTGCTGTAATGGCCAATCAGTTTTCAGTATTTCGCCTGGGAAAGTACTTCTCCCTAAAATAGAGAAATGTAATTGGTCATCTCATCCATTTGCTAGGGTGGCCTTTAAGGTCAGCCTTTGTCCTCTGGCATCATGAATGCTACAACATTTTAGCGTATTCTGTGTGTGGGTGATTATACTACTTAGGACCGAATCAGTGTTTTCGTGCACTTGTATTTGTTCAAAGAAACCCTAATTTACCAATCCCATTTTACTCAACTTTTTGAGGCGACTTAAAAAGCTGCCGTACAACTACCAAAATAACCAATCAGGTTGAGGTGTCTGGGCTTGGAAGACAATTTTTCATGGAATAGAGAAACGTGATTCGTTGTTTCATAAGTTGCTAGGGTGGTCTTAAGTCACTCACTTTTTGCGTTGATCAACAAGGTTAAAAAAGTCACGTGAATGCAAACAAAGAGTGATTTGTCAGTCATATGCAAAAGACAACTGAATGGACAAAGAAGTCTTAACGATAACTTCTTCAGGCTCTAAAGTTCTGTGTTCACAGAGCATAATTTTGTGTTAACAATAGTGAGATTTCATAAATATCAGTTTGTCAATAATATTAAACAGTTGGGGAGTTCTCTTCAAAAAAGTTCGTATCAGAATCATTATTGGAATTCAATTCAAAGTGACTTTTTACAATAAACGATCATAGGTTGCAATGATACTTATAGCTTCCTGTTGCTATACATGACCGAACTGCTCGACCTCTGTTGACAGATGGGCGTCTATACGGATGCTTCGATACTACTGATATTCATGAAGTTATATTAATCTTGGTGACCAACAACGGGAAATTACATGTCATGCTGCGTTCGAGCCTCGGTGAGAACAGCATCACTCACTGGAGTGCTGGTACATACAGCTGATGAGTCTTGAATAGGACGAAAGGGGAGTCCTGAATCCCTCTGTTGGTCACCTAGATCAATAAAACGGCCATAGGACTTGTGTATCACTATAAGGCGAAAATGAGTGATATTCACCTCGAGTAAAACTTATTGCAGGTAGAAGGGGGAATGGAATGTGGTAGAATGCGAGTGCGAAATCCGGGAAACAATGATAATTTAACGAAAACGCTAGGTCAGGTTATATAAGTTTATGGATATCTGATCAAATTTAGACTACTAAGAAGGCATGAGGGTTATTTTGCGTTCTCTGAGAAGGGTGGTTTAATCGTGTAATCGAAATGCAATCAGCATCTTTGTGTAATAGACAGTGAGCTGCATCTATGGTGTGAGGGGTAATGATACTACCTGGTTATCCAAATCTCGGTAGGTGGAGCGGTGTTCCAACTTGTGAGGCCTTAGCTTAAAGTTAACTCTCTAAACAAGTGATCTGCGCAAAGCAAATAAGATCGCCCACCTGAGCTACGAATATTCTCCACCTCAAAACATGCATTTTCATTTTTCTGTTAATACGTTTTTGTGGGTATGTATGCAAGTAGGATGCAATAAAGAAAGATAGGTAACTTGAGGAAAGTGAGTTTAGTAAAATGTTAAATATGTAAGGGAACAAAATAGGCTAAGAGAATGGAGTAAAACTACTTCATATTATAGAGATGAGGAGATGTCTACAAAATGGAAGTTAAAGGTGAGGTCAAATGTGGTAGGAAGCTTAAGAATTACGATCTGTACAAGTCAGTTAGTTAGGTTCAGGTGAAGTTAGCTGAATTTGTCCAGGTATATAGCTGATGAGATCGACCCTAAACGTGTGAAGTGGCCGTCTGATGTTTAGACTACTGTTTTTCTGAACCCGTAGCTGTTTCTGTCGATGTAGACGAAATGAAAGCTGACCAGTAAACAACTTGCACCATTTGAGATTCATGCAAACGACATTCTAAAATTAATACTGTCCTTTCCAGAAAGCAGGTCAACCTCTGCTGCACCTTCATATACAACCAGTAACGTGTGTTCTATTTAGTATAATCCATATGAAATTGTGGTTTCTAAACTTCTAGCCACCATCTCAGTAGGCTAATTATTTCCATTTCAAACAAATGAACATGATGCGTAAACATCTGTTTCCTTGGTGTTACTTTTCTCACTTGAATCTAACAGAGACTAATGAATTTGATTGTGACAATTAGCATTGCGAAATTTCAAGATCTGATAAGAGAAATTATAATTTCAACTACACTATCACTCGATTTGATAAAGTAAAGCTCATATAACCCTAGAGTTGTGCATACTTTTTAATTATTATTTGAAAATACCGACAGATTTTGTTCTTAAGAGTATTTATTTCTTCAACATCAATGATGTATTTACCGTCAGATTTATGCTATTAGAAACAACCTGTATTTTGTTTTTACAGTTCACATGTATCCCTTCAAGTTGAATTAACAAATGATATTTCATTTAAGTTTTATTTTATTGTATCATCTATGCTCAAACTTTTAGATGGATTAAGGATATGAAAACGTATGTGTAAACTAGACGAATATTTAGAATTTCGAATTTGAGAAATAATTTGTTTTATGAATATTCTAACAACACGGATTGACTGTAAGATTTTACTGTTGTTCTTTTTTTAATATTCGAATTGATTAGCTGTAAAGTCTGAAGATATAACAACTAAACCAGTGGAATACACAAAACAAGAACGTGGACGTTCAAAATCAAAAGCACGTGGTCGTCGTGGTGGAGTTGGAGGCGGTGGTGGAGACCATACTGGTGATAAACAAAATAGTCTTATGACTAAATCTAGCTTATTCTTAGACAATTCTATGAGCACATCTAAACAAACAAGTTTACCGTTGAGAGCTGCAATTAGTACGAGTGCGCTTCAGATTAATACAGCTCAGGATACACAATGTGGGCAAATATTTGGTTGTCTACCTGAACAAGTGTGGCCTGATTCTCAATTACCTGAATCTTTAGTGGTAAATATATTACTTTCTTTGCTTAATGTGGTATCTCGCGAAATTTAATAATGTGTGAACTGACTCCTCAACTGACCATATCCCCAATCTAATGAAATTTTTTTAACGGTAAATGTTGAGCTGAAATAAAAAACGTTTTTTCTGAATGAGCGTAGCATCAACATTTTTATGACGTAAATTCAAAAAAATTACTTAATACTCTCTAGCTACTATCAAGTTTCAAAAAGTAGTATCTAGAGATTCATTAAATGTATGGGTTAAGTTTTAGTATAGGTAGTAACAACTAATGACTGGGTGGTTATTTCCTCATAAATATTTTTGAATAAAGGCAGTTACCAACGACACTTTCTATTCCTCATATTTCGCCATCAACCATACACAATTCAAGTGGAAAATAGTGAAATATGAAAGTACTGTTCACTATTCGAATCACTTCAAGTTCGTCAGTAGGCACTGTTGAAGGTTATGAGACATTTCTATATGCTGACTCCTGTTAGTAGCACGTGTTTTGTTTCAGAATACGTGGATCGTGCAAAGAGCTATATATGTGGAAAAGAGGGATTTCGAACGGTCTTCACTTTGTCAGTAGAAGAATTAAGAGAGGAAAGGAATTTTACTAACTGCTTGCTTTTATCTTATTTAGACACATCCAAAGCTATATTCAGTTTGTGAATGTATAGTTAGTCGTCTGTTTGGAATATTTATCACCTTTGCTATCCGAGGAGTTGAAAGGTATCTTTAATCTTTAGAAATGATCTAAGTACGTGGATAACTCGATCCTACAGGGACCCGAATAGCTCAGTGATAAGGTCACTGACAACAAAAGTGGTGGACACCGGTTTGAATGTCATCGAGGATTTGAGTTCCATTGAGGTTGGAGACACGTCTTGCTGACAAGTGCCAATAATTGCGAAACGTAGGTTGAGCAGAGGTATCTGACAGTTGCTTCCAACCAATTAATAAAGTGCACCGCAATGATATCCCTTCTAGTTTGGTGATCAGATTGTAAAATTATCGATAACATTCAGTCAGCACTCAGAACACAGATTTGGGGCAAACTTGGCAACAACTTCAATAACCAACCAAGTTTCGGTATTGCGACCAGATAGGTAGTTTTTCACAAAATATTGAACCCTAATTGGTTATCTTAGCAATTGCTAGGGTGACCAATCAGGCTTCGATACTTCGCCTTGAAACGTACTTCTCCATAAAATACAGGTATGTAATTGGCTATCTCATCAGTTGCTAAGGTGGCCTTAAAAGTCACGCCAAATTTGTGCTATATCCTACGGAACTCACTCTCATTTACTGCTGTTCATTTCTAAGTATGTGGGGGTGGGCTTGAAGCTGTGTAGTAAGAGTGCTCATCGAAACAGTTCTCATGAATTCTTTTGATTGCCGGTTGATGCAGGTGTTTCTTTTAAGACTTAGGATGATTATATATAGTATATGACTCACTTTAATTTCTTTAATGTTCATATAAATGATAAGACGAGTTCACTTGATATTTTTAATAGCATCAGTCAGTCATGAAGTTACAGACTTTACCATCAAGCCATTTAAGTAACAACTAGAACTATGAAGGAATAGAGTGTGTGCCTAAATTATCAGTCGCCGAGTACTTGACATTTTGACGTTTTGAAGTTTGTTATTCACACAACATTCATTCATTGTGTTGGTATTATTCCATTCCACTCACTACATCATATATGTCTTTTGATAATATTCCTTTTTTGGCTATTTTAGAATCTGTTTGCAATTGTTTACTATAACGGTGTAGATATTGAGGGCATATTTAGACGTACAGCTGTTCACAGTCAAATTGAACTAATGAGAGCCCGTGTTGATGAAAATATTCAAGCTATTACACCGAATAACTGTAATCCCATTTTAGCATCATGTGTTTTGAAAGTAAGTGGATATTTTTATTTTATATAATGGAATCTGTTAATTTTAACCTAATGTATAACATATAATGGTTTTTTGGGAAAGGATTCAATAAACTTTCTGAAGAAACAAAGATGCCGACTATAGCTTGGGAAGCGCCATTTTATGTAGTGGCTTTTGTGCCATAGTGACCTAGTGGATAATACTCTGACGTTTGAATAAACAGGATCTGGGTTCTTAGTCTCAGTGGGAACAATATCTCTCGCTGGGGTGAAATAACATGCAGCTGACTATTCCCAAATATAACAAAACTTGCTTTAGGCTAGATTTCATTGTTGGCCATCAATTAGACTACAATTTCATAAGATAACCTATTACTCCAACTTTTACATCTGGTTGGTATTTGATGGTGCGGTTGTTGATTTAGGGTCCTGATTTGTCAATAAAACTTGGTGTTGTTTGACTTCTTTTGTTAGAATTTCAGTGTAAATGTACTTTCCAAGATTCTATGTACTTTCTCAAAGATGATTGTGTACAGAATACACTATCGACTTGATTAAACTATGTTGAAATGGAATCAGACTGTTTCAGACCTTGTCTGTTAGCCCCATTCATCATCTGTACATTGTATGTTGAAGGATTCACCTAGCTGAACACCTAAGTTTACAACAGACCTAAACCATTTTGTTCAAAGATCATTGAACCATAGAAATTCCATAACAGTTACTAATGTCAGTAACTAAATGCCTCAGAGTCAACTAGTTAGTTTTTGAATTACGATCAACAGAAAGAATGTGTTAGTTAACTTGTGAAGTTGATAAATTGCACTCAGTCGACAAATAGTTGTATGTCATTGAACTTCAAACTTGAGAAGTAGCACGATATGCTCAGTCAATCCAGGACTCATTGTCTTTATTGGTTGTAATATCAAGTAGTCTAATTAGTGTGTTATGTTAGAAAAAAGTCTTTAGGTAGTTTTCGAGGGAAGAATAAGGTCTCTGTATTCAAACCAATAAAAATTCCCAGTATAATTCAAAAGCCATCTGAATGAACAAAGAATATTCTTTCCGATAATTTTTTCCTCATGTCCTACGGTCATATGTACCTACTGAGGGGTTTTGCGTCAATAATATTGGGATTTTGCTTATTAGTTTGTGAATAACATGTTATGCAGTTGAAGATGTTAATTCAGCTTAGTCTCGCATGGGCATTTGTGATCAAATCAATTGTTATCAAGATTCATTTCAAAATCATTGGCTATCCAAACGATTATTTATTATTTGTCCCTTGAGTTCCTTCTAGAACATAGGGCTTCAGCAACACGACAATTTCACTCTCTTCTCTGTAGTCTTTTCAATCTGGCTCCACTACTGTCCACAAGCTTTCATTTCTTCCTCACATGATCTCCTCCATGTCACTCTCACCTCAGACGCTTAAGTCGTCGTTTCCCCTTTGCGTTCCACTTCAGAGCGTGGTCTGATGCGTGATGTCCCCAAATGGTCTTCTCAGTCTATTTCCAATCCAATCCATCTCCACTTCCTTCTGCATATTTGTTGGGCGATGGGTTCTTGGTTGGTTCGTCCCCAGAGTTTCTTGTTGCTTATTCCTTCTGGCCACCTGATCTTCAGCATCGAGCATAGGCAGCTGTTGATGCATGTTTGAAGTTTGTTGGAAATACTTCTCGTAACGCGCCAAGTGCCTTAACTATATAGAAACACTGACTTGACTGAATTGGTGTTGAAAATCTGGATCTTGTTTACGCTTTATACTGAGTGCAGTGCAGTGCGGTAGATCTCCACACTGGTTTCAGAATACTTCAGGAAGACCTGTCTTGCTGTTTTTTGATTCTGGTTTATACTGCGTAGTAATGCTATAAGGTGATAGTTTATTAAAACAATAGGAAGGTGTTTATGATAGCTAGATATAATAAGCTAAATAATTCGAGAAGTATCGCTTAATATAGTGTTACTCATGTTAGGCAACAAAATAGGACAAGACAATGTGTAACACTTATTATAGATTATAGGGATGAAGGATTATCTACAATATGGAATTAATTCCTTCCATGAATTTAGATAGTGTATCTGAGCAATGTGGTGTATTTGAGCAAGGCATTTCGAACAACCTGATCACATATTTACACGTCAAGTCAATTTATACTACTTTTCAAGTTGGTATTCATCATGGACTGACATCGATTGGGGGAACATTTGAAACCTAGAAGCAATGGATAGCTGTTTCATCCCTTTGTGGGACTCCTCGGCAGTACACACCCACCACACCACCAGGAACTGAACCCAGGACCTGTGGGACAAACTTGGTGGAGGTGAGGATAAAACTCGACGATGATACCGGGTGGTGGTCACGCTATGTCGTGAACTGACAGAAGTTGGAAATATAGACTATTAGATTCGGACACAGGGGCTAAATGGTAACGTGCTAGCCACGGAAACAGAAGGTCCTAGGTTCGATCTGTGGGTGAGCATTGCTGAAGAGTTGCACGCTGGGACGAATGTCTTTCTAGTACTCCCAGCTTTCTAATATTCCTCCAACTGATGTCAAACCATGACGAATACCAACTTGAAATTAATAAATTCCCACAAACCTCCAAATTCACTTTATATTAAATCGAAGAGTGGGAGGACAAATAGATTAAATAAGATAATGGGGGATTAAAATTAAAAGCGATGAGAACAAAAAGTAAGAGTGACATAGTTGATCGTAATCTTGGTAAGTCGAAAAAGTTTACAAGAGTAGGTGTAGTGTAAGGACAAATCGTTTTTGTACAAATAAATGTGGTTTCAATTTGTATATGGCTATGGCTTCCGCAAATCTCAGTGTGTGTCACTGACTGTTTCCATCTAAAACTTTGAAAGCTGTTTGAACGGTAATTTTACGACCTGTTTCTTTAAAAGGCTTGGTACACATCAAAGGGCTGTCTCTCGCTTGCACTTGTCAAAGTTTCACATTCCATTTGTTCTTGAAGCCATTTAGGTACATGTTCTCCTACCCTGAACTGCATGGCCCTATTACTCCTCTCTATATATGAGTCACCATACACGCATCTAAATTGGTAACTACAATATGTAATATGTTTTCTTAATGGCTAATGTTAGCCTACGTCTCAAAATGATACTATTCAACTCTCTTCTGTATGGTACAGTGATATGGACGCTTTTCTTAGGAACCGTGTATAGAGTTGACTTCGGTGCTACTTGACCTCTAAAACGGTTTATAAAATTCAACTGATATACATTTTCCATAATTTTTTTGAGCGGTAATTTCATATCTTCATCCATCGAATCTGATGTACAGATAAGATAAATCCTATTAAATAAGCATTTTGTATGGGATTGGACAAAAGCTGTGAGGATTCAAATATTGTTGTGTTCAATTAAGCTTTCTGTAGACTAACTGTCTTGTTAAACCATCTTCTCGTCGACTCAATGGTGCATCTAATAATCTAAGATGGTTATTCTTTTCTTTCTTACAAGTCAAATTCATATGATTTTGTTTATTGTTGTCTTTTTGGTAGATAAACCATATCCTCATGCTTCTTGCAAATCACTACGTTGCTGTCGACATATCTCTTGTCAAAAGGAACTTTAGTGATGAGAACACTAACCAGATTTTCAATATATAACAGATAATCATTTGCTAGTAGTAGTCCTAAGGGACCTTCTAAAGCTAGACCACCAACTTGTAGAAAGTGTTTACCTTCAAGTATAAAATGAAATTTAACGGTACATAGCAATAAAAGTTCCTTCAGAAAAGTTGGAGTAATAGGAAATTGAAGGTTTCATGAAGATATGTAGTCACAGAGCATATAAAAGTCTTGGACAAAGTCACGTTGGTGAATAAAGAATTTACATCGAAAGAGTATATAGTCTTGTTTTTGATATTCATGTTACTAAGACAGTCAACAAGTTGAAAAGTATCTTTCAATAAAAATGTACAGAATCCATTCTGAACTGGCTTTAACATTTTCTTCAACCATTTTGCCAGTTTTTGTATGAGGGAACGACACATTAACAATATAGGGCGTAAAGGATTATTAATTTTGTATTGATTGGTAACGGGAGTGTAACCAATTTCATGTTGTCTAGTCCTGAGTGCAGACCGAATTCTATCGATCATATTTGTAATGTGGCAACTAAGCTAAGAAGCTCAGCATTGCGGTGCACATTAGTAGATGTTAGTTAGTTGGAGGCAATCGGCAGGAAGCCCTGGACCTAGATTTCGTGCTTTTTGGCACTCGTCAGCAAGGTGTATCTGCAACCTCAAAGGAACTGATGTCCCATCTGAGATTCGAACCCGCATCACCCAGTGTTGTAGTCAGCGACTTCAGCACTGAACTATTCGGGCCACGATTAGTTTTATCAATCTTGGGTAATCCATATATATTTGGAAATTCAAATCCCGTAGGTTTCAGTGAATTGGATTTTTATCTGCTAATAGCATTCATACTCAAAATTTTAACTGGATGAACGGTTAATTTTGCTTTCAGTTTTATGATATCTTCTGGTGGGACATCAGATATGAATCAGTTTTCATCATTGAGAATGGATAAAATTTTATTTTTATAGTCAGATTTATTCATCACAAAAATGTCTGATCCCTGATCTGTTCAGTAATTCTTTTGAAGATTTGAAGTGCTGTGAATTCTAAATACTTCTTTATCGTGTTTCTAAACTAAGGAACTTATCAGCAATACCAATTATGAAAGAGTGCAGAATATTTGTAGCTCAAGTGGATGGTCATGGTTGTATTGCTTTTTCTAAGATGGGTTGTTTAATCATGAAGCTTTCATCGTCCTCCTAGATGACATCATCAGCACTAACTTCTGCATGAAGTCAGCTACCTGTCGATATCTCTCCGTGACTGATTTAGTAGCTTGCCTTGACGAAGTCCTCTGTGATTGGTTGTTTCCTTTGATTGTTGTGTCATTGACTGTATAGATTTTCCTGTTGTCTGTTCCTCTGTTTCACCTCTTATCTTTCTGTTGTTTATCATCTTCCTTATTGGTTGATAGATTGGGCCTATGTCTATACATCTGTTCACTGCTGCCTGACTGACTGAATACCAAGCTTCTAGGAATTCTCTGATATTCCTCGTGTTTCCTCTCTCCATACAAAATTTCCACATTGTCGAAATTCAATTCATGTCCACAGTTGTTATCCACATGCATTGAAATGTGAGTGGTGAAATGTCGTGATGTTACTAGCCAACTTGTGTTCCTGTTGACGAAGGTGAAGAGGGAGACCACTCCGTCCCCATCCAATATAGTGTTGACCACAGTTATTGGAGCTGATTTTGTAAATGATATTCGATTTGCCTTCTTTGCTTGTCGCATGCTTTTGTCTGCCAAATGATGTTTGCAGGGAATTTGTTGGTTTATGAGTGGCCACACCAATTGCAAGTGGTTTGTCTCAGTAATCTTGTCGTGATTTCTGATATATTCTGTATGTCTGGTAGGATGATGTGTCTGTTGATTTCTGTGGGTGACTTAGTAGTTGATGATGTACGAGAAAGGCATGTTCTGATAAGGTTTCGTGGGTAGCTGTTCTTCTTTAGAGTGGACATCAAGTAATTTTCTTTGTTTCTCCGTGAATTTGTTGTGCTGCAGTGTGTTCTCACTCTTCTGAATAGAGTCTGCACTCAACTGATCTTGTGGGTTGTTGGGTTGTTGCTAGTGTAATTGAAGACTTGGTCAGTGTGTGTTGGCCTCCTGTACACTTGGGTTTCTAGCTTCTCCGTATTTGTTCTACTGACCAGAACATCCAGGAATGGTAGTTTGTTGTTTGACTCCTTCTCCATTGTGAATTAAATGTCATTGAAAACGCTGTTGATCGAATTGTGGGTGTTTTCTGTATCATCCTTTTTAATGATGACAGAAGTGTCGTCCATATAGGGAATCGAGAATTTTGGTTTGATCACATGTAGGATGATGGCTTGCAGTCTCTGCATCACTGCTTCTGCAAATCATTCCGGATATCGGTGATCCGATTGGAGTTCCTTTCGTCTGTTTGTATATCTTGCTGTTGAGTTGGAAGTATGTTGTCAGACAAAGGTTGATGAGTTGCATGAGACTTGAACGTTTGAGTTTTGTGTGTTTTGTGAGGCTTGTGTCTTCATTGAGCAGAATGGACATAGTTTCCATGGCCGATTGGGGTTCGATGGATGTGTATAGTGCTGTGACTTCGAAGGATATCATTGATTCATCGTTTTCTATAATAATGCTTTTGATCTTTTCTAAGAATTCCGTTGATGAACAGTTATGGATATGAATTCAACTTTGACAATATAAAAATCTTGGACGGAGTGGGAAAACACAAAAAATATCCGAGAATTCCTAGAAGCTTGACAGTCACGTCAGTCAGTCAGTCGGTCAGGCAGTCAGCAATCAACAGATGTATAGATATAGGCCCAATCTACCAAACAATAAGGAAGATGATAAACAACAGAAAGATAAGAGGTGAAACAGAGGAACAGACAACAGGAAAATCTATACAGTCAATGACATAACAATCAAAGGAAACAACCAATCACAGAGGACTTCGTCAAGGCAAGCTACTAAATCAGTCACGGAGAGATATCGACAGGTAGCTGACTTCATGCAGAAGTTAGTGCTGATGATGTCATCTAGGAGGACGATGAAAGCTTCATGATTAAAGAACCCATCTCAGAGAACACAATACAACCAAGTTATTTGTCGCATTTCTTAACTATGGAACTGATGAGCCATACCAATTAATTTAGTCTTTAACAAATGTTGAATGTGTTCTTTAACCTTCTTACTGTAGTCGGGTTTGTCTAGTGATGCTGTTTAGCTGAGCTATTCTAACTTGGTTATTACTACATGCTTAGGATTTTTAAGACTTTTTAAGGCTTTCATTTCTTGTTTTATTAAACTATGACATATTCTCTTCTGCTTTTCCAGTGTGAGCGCATGCATGTTATGCTTAGACTTCTTAGGCGATCGTCTTGTTCTCGAGCTTATTACTACTTCTGTGTTGTGAATGACATCCTTAGGTTCAAAATGATTCATGACTACGCTGGATTTAAGCCTTCTCTCTAGTCATTCTATTTCTGTTGATCTTATGATTCCACTTGATATACTGATAAATCACTTTTTCTTATCGACTACTTATTTGCTATTAGTGACCTCACTATTATTATCACCGTTTTTCTTTTGTTTAATGGTAGAGATTCTTCTATGAAATACCTGGTCATTTATTGATTGATTCGAAATGGGATGAATGGGCTAGTTTAACGGGAATTAATTCATCAACAGAACGTTTACAGTTAATTGAAAAGTATGTGTTTTATTTTATTGATTTTATGCATTTTTATATTCTTCTAATACACACAGATATCACTGACTGATTACATTTTATTGTTTTTCAGGTCTTATTGTTGCGTAACACTTATGAATGATATGATGTAAAATTTAGTCAGATTCATCTGTGATATGTAATCCCATTCGGTTACATTCAGTTACGCTTGATCTAACCGTGATGATGTGGATAAGGCTTACTCAAGTGTGTTAAGTCAGGAGCCACACAGGCACTTTCTTTCCACCCATTACACTTATCGACGTGTGGTGCAGTCATCAAGAGAATCGTAAAGAGGATTCGGCAACGTTGATAAGTCTGTCACTACTTCTTTCATCTAATGCTTTTGATTGGTTATCAGGGTCTTTTAGACATTACCGAATATGATCGAGTCACCAGCAATCTATTTAAGTGTAGTGAGTGTCTTTTCAGTCTGTTTAGTTAGGTAATGAGGGGAAAGATAACAACTAACCAGCTTTTTTCTACACTTGTCAAATGCTTCAGCGACTGAAGCGAAACTGAAACCTAATCAAGGACTCGGTCTTACGCCTCAGGGAGCGGAAAGTCAGGTTGTTAGTCGAAAGGTCACTGGTTCGAATCCTCTTTTGATCAATATTTCCGCGTTATCTTGAATTACTATCCCATTACTTCAAGGATTTGTTTGAAGCATGAGTTGAAAACATTGATTTCAGCTGGTGGGGAAATAATTCGTTGAAACATGTTGTCTAACTAAACATTCACAGGGTAAGTACTGTAAACCAAACGGTGCTACCACTGCTTCTGGACAATAAAGAAAGCCATATGCGAAATATGTAAACTAGAGCGTATAGCTCAGCAAAAACACAGTTTCTCTAGTCGGAGCATAACAACCGCCTTAAATTCCTTTCAGTCCCTTTACGTATTGTATACTACATGCGTGTAACAGGGGTTTTTCACCTGGTAGTTATAGTTTTTTCTTACGGTTCACTTTCTTGTGAGATGTATATTAAATATCATGTGCTTATATTTGCAAAAGAGTCATTTGATAACAACGGTTACGATGTTATAGTAAACTGTTACGTAACACCAAAAAGTGTCGAATCTGTTTCCCTAGGTCAAAATTATGTCGAGTAGAAGTTGGACACTTTGCTAGACCCCAAATGAATGTTATTTTACTTGCTAGACACACTACATATATACACACACTCACAATGATAAAGAAGGGTTGCCTAGAACAAGTTTGGAAAATAGTTTACTGGTCATAATCCTGTCAAGTAATAACATGATATGGGATATCTTTGGCTAAGTGAACCAAATTCTTGGTGTCACAGAAATTTTTGCTCTGGAAAAATTCTTACACTGATATGTTTTGGGTGCTCAATGAAGATGAATACTAGCAGGGTTACACAGATCTGTACCCTTGAAGATGATCTGTATCTTCTGAGTTGTTCATGTTCTTATCTTTTCTCTGAATAGTTTTTGAGGATACCAAGATTTTTCAAAGATTCTCCTGAACAAGTTTATTTTGAATTCAATGAATGATGAGTAGGGAATTGAACTCACTGTTAACGGAGATGAGCTGGTGTTTAGAAAAGCACAGCCGCTTGTTTGACCACATTATGTAATTAGGCTTAGTTACACGTTTTCCAATGACTATGATTATGTGGCTAGTAAGAAATTAGTTCATACTCGACAAACGTTTCCTCATAAGGCACATAGTGTTATCCTCAAATGAGGCAGTCATACTATGTATCTCACTGATTCAGTTCCTGTTCAAAACCACGCATAAAGATTCTGTAGTCTCTTCTGTTTGACTGACTGACAAAATAAACGTGGGACCTCACATACAGATGCGTTGGCTAAAGTTACCACATTTCACAGAAGTACACAAAGAATAGGTGGATAGAAAGGGAGTGATATCAAAGTAGATAAAGTAGTATGAGAGAATAAACAATCTGAAGATGAAGGTTAGTACAAATATTCACACTTTCGAAGATCTCAAGAAGTGACTAAATCTACATCACTGTGACCAATTTTCAGCCATGTCACCAAGAATCCTCAACCGCTGATTCCTTTCTTCTCGGGACCCCAGACATCCAACTAGTCTCCATCTTCCAGCATAACTCACACCAACAGTAAGAGATTTCATTGTCTAGTATCATGTCTTGATCTGGCCACGCTGAACCCTCTTCCAACCTAATACAACTTCCCCTAGGACACACTAATGTAGGATGCGCAACACCTATCCAAGCCATCTCACTCGACTAAGTTTCACAACCTCACCAGTCAATTTGCCTGTCATGCCTATTACCCTTCTCTTGACCTTAATGCTCACACAGTTACTCCGCCAAACACAAGCGATGCTATGAATACATCTGTGATCAAAACCTGGTAATCACTTCGTTTCTTCTGTTTTAACGGCCATGTCTCACAGCCATGCAACGAGACGAAGAAATACAGCGCAGTATACTCATTCTTTGACAGGCTATCAGTCATCTCTCCAGCCGGTATCACAGATGACGCAAGTTGGCAAGTGCCCAAAGGGCCTCCTGCATCCAAGCTGGTGTTCAGGAAAGTGAAACCGCTTTCTTGATCACATTGTGTAGGTGGGCCTAATTACGCGTTCGGGGATGACTGTGATTATTAGGCGGGTGATAAATTAGTTTATACTCACCAAACGACTCTACAGCCGGCATATAATATTATCTTGAAATGAATTAGTTGCTTTAATTATCGCTATGACTTGACTTCTCTTCGAAACTTTGCACAAGGTTTTTGCAGTCTCCTCTGTACACGGGTAAGACTATACATGCATGGTGTAACTACTCTCTTTAAACAATCCTCTTTTAAAATTCAGTTCTAATGATGGTTACTTCTTGTTCCGACTCTCCCATCGATTCAATATGCACTGACAATACCAGTTGACCTTGACATAATCGTAAACAAGAAGTTAGGCAAATTAGCTAAGAAGCTACTTTGAAACAACAAAAATACCAGAATATTTTTGAAAGGTTTCCACTCATGTCCATCATTAACGACCAGTGATTAAAATCAGAGGAAATAACTACAGTGTCATTAATCACATCAGCTTAGTAGCCAATCAACCTTAATGTGTTCGAGTCACAGTGCGATAACTGTGAGAACAGCTAATCTATGTATGCAGCCCAACTTTACAAAAGTTGTGAATTCAGCTTTGTTAAGATATTTATTTGTCCACAAGAGACAAACAAAGAGAATCATTATGTTTATGTGTATGTTATCTCCCGTCGTGATAAAGGTGTATTACAAAGAAACAATTCATTACAAATACAATAAATAGAGTTTTTGAATTTTTGAAGATAAAAATGACCCACTAGGTAGTAGTGATCGGTGAATTAATAAAAGGCAAAAAGGCTAATTTGTTATACAGAGCGATAACCATGGTAACAGTAATAATTGTGATCTTTACTAAAAGTATATAATTGTATGGATTGAAAAAAAGTCAAAAGGTTGCACAGTACAATTTAATGAGTGGCTTTAAAGGCTGACCGGAATAACGACTGAGATAACTAATCAAGTTTATTATTTTCAGCTAGAAAGGTAGCTTTTTCCCATAAACTATGTAAAAGTAATCGGTTATATCAGTAGTTACGTTGTCGCTTGTATCACCCAGTCGGTGATTGGACCAAACAGATTGGTCTCTATTGTTGGCCTAGTGGATGACATTTTGCTGTTCGGAGTGATCGGTTCCTTGTTCGAGTCTCAGTGGAAACAACATAGACCATTGGGAGGCAGATACGTCCAGCTGACCAGTCCCGAATAAGGCGAAACGTGCATCGTGGATTCCTCTGCCTGCCACAATCCATTATTAACATCTCAATAGTTATTAGGGCGCCCTTTAGATTCACTCTAATTTCATACCGACAAATAATTAAATATTGATTATCAGTTTGACTATCTGGGGTGGTCGTGGTTTATTATTATTATTATTATTTATTAGTCCTTTGGGTTCCTAGTGGAACATAGGGCTTCACTAGCACGTCTCCAGTGACCTCTGTTCTCTGAGATCTTTTGAACCTGGTTCCACGACAGCCCAGAAGCTCTCATTTCCTCCTCGCACGATCTTCTCCATGTCACCCTCGGACGTCCAACTCGTCGCTTCCCATGGGGATTCCACTCGAGCAACTGGCCTGACGCGTGATGTCCTCCGTCGGCCTTCTCAGTGTATGCCCAATCCATCTCCACTTCCTCCTGCATATTTGTTGGGTGATAGGTTCTTGGTTGGTTCGTTCCTAGAGCTCCTTGTTGCTTATTCTTTCTGGCCATCTGATCTTCAGTAGCGAGGGTAAGCAGTTGTTGATGGGTCGTGGTTTGGAAGACTTGTATTGATACTAGGTGATAACTGAAGACAAAATAAAGATCTGGGACATGGTAGGAATCGGACCAGCGACCCCTCCCCAATTCAGGTAGATTTGGATTCGGATGAGAAGTTTTGATTGAGCAGACAGTATAAATATGGTCAAGCGGTAGTAACGCATCACGAATTCATGTAGCGGTAGGGTGAAACCCCTGGTGATTGAAGTGGATTTAAGACCAGGTCAACAGATGGGCCTAGTAGCTTATTTGTTAGAGTACCGAGCCGGTATCCCAGAGGCCGTAGGAAGAATCATAGATGGTAAGTGTGACGTGTCCAAGACAGAATTCAAATCCTCTGTATAGCGTTACCGTATCAACAATCCATATCGGAAATTTTATGCAGAATTTTTAACAATGCCAGGATTATGGTGGTATTTAAACCTATAAACTAATTCAGGGAGACCACTTTGGAGGGTAAAAATGCAATACAGCCAATTAAGCAGAATAACCTAACCAATCAAACACCATGTAATGATTGTGAGGTCAAGTATATAGGTCATAGCTGCCGATAGGGGTCAGCCTGTATAACAGAGAACAAAAATTTAGTGAGAATTAGAATGATTGACCCTAGTAATATAGACAATTTAGAAAAAAACTTGGCTATCCCTTTACATGCACACTGACCCATAATCATACGATAGGGTGGGATATGGTGAAAATTGTAGAATTCATAACTAGGTGGAGGGAGAGACTAGTCACAAAAATTCTGCTCGAAATGTCATACAGTAAATAATGGTGTATCACTTTGTGACATATCAAATAAACAATATAATGTGGAGTTATACTCAATCGAAGTAGTTTAGAATTTTAGAACACAGGCAGTGATGATCTATTCCCGCTAGTTGACCGATTACACCTCAAAGGTATAACATAATCGAATTGAGGTTAACTCCATTAGACGGAAACGCAAGTCAACCAATAAGGAAATAACCTTTGGGTATCATATTCTTTGAGAAGAAGGTTTACCAAATTTATCGGCAGAAGTAGGCGACTGCAGACCAATGAACTTCTACCCAGTGGATGGATGGTTAAAGTGCTCACCCTGAAACCTAAAGGTTCTAAGTGGAAAGCCGTTGAATCCCAACTAAGTTTTGTTTATCTGACAAAGCACACTGTGATGCAGTATTGTTTACTGCAGAATTTGTTTCATACCTGCAAAACAGATGTTGCATCATTCACACTACATATTTTCGGCATTGATTCGTGTACTGAATCTTTGTCTATAGAATTGGCACACACTACATATAATGCGTATGATTCAGTATATATTCTAGGGACTGACATCAGTTGGATAAAACTCGGAAACCTGGGAGCACTGGACGGTTGTTCCGTCCTAGTGTGGGACTTCTCAGCAGTTCACACCTATTACCCCGCCCTCCAGTGCTCGAACTCAGGGCCCTCAGGTTCCGTGACTATCACGTAACCACTGAGCTAGCCACTGTGTTGGAATCCAGTGGTCCATATTTTTAACTTCCGTCAGTTCACAATATAGCGCCAGCATCATCCAATGTCACCGTTGAAAATTTGTCCCCACGGCCTGGCGGGGTCATGGGTGCTTACTGCTGAGGAGTCCCGTACAGGGAGGAAGTAGCAGTCCAGCGCTCCCACTTTTCCGATGTTCCGTGAACTGATGTCAGTCCATGATGAATACCAACTTGGAAAGTCGCTAACTCCCCACAAACCCTCAAATTCAGTTGATTTAGTGCTCACTGGTGACTGGCTTCGAGAGATGATTCCTGAAGTTCCAATGAGAAGTCATGACCAGTGGGGCAAACCTGATGGTTGTTGGGATGAATACTCAACAGTGACATTGGGTGATGGTTGCGCTATGTCAGGAAGTGACAGAAGTAGGAAATATGCCCCAGTGAATTCCGACACAATGGCGCCTCGGTAACGTGCTGGCCACGGAGTCTGGAGGTCCTGGGTTCGATCTGTTGCCGGCGAAAGTAATGCGTGTGCATTTCTGAGGAGTTTCATAATGGAACAAAACGGTTACCCATTTCCCTAGGTTTCTAATGTTCCTCCAACTGATATCAGTACATGATGAATACAAACTTGGAAAATTCCAAATGTACTGAAATCACTTACAAGTTTTTGATGCCCGCACGCAGTAGGTGTCAGCTTTGAATCTCAGCAAGAACAACACCATTTACTGAGATGTAGGTACACTCAACTGATGTTTTCCAAATAAAAGAGTCTGCAGGTCCCGTAAGTAACAGTGATAACCAGTCCCAAACACATAACACTGGAATAAAATCATTTATATAAAGTTCCATAGATATTGATCAGATATTATCTCTTTGTTTATATTTAACTTTTTAGATTAGTTCGCAGTCTTCCCAAGGTTAATCAAACTTTGCTAGCACTATTAATCTACCTCCTTGCACATATACGAGATAATGAAGAGACAAATCGTATGTCAGCAAGAAATCTAGCCGTTGTTTGGGGTCCAAATCTAATTCAACGACCCAATTCACCATTGGCTTTAAGTGATTCTAAAATAGCTACACAGATTGTTACCTATTTGTTAGAGCCTCCAGTGACCAATTTCCTACTGGAAACATCGAATGCCCGAAATGAATTAAATCAACATTTTACAAATATTTGGGGAAATTTAAAAGGTACAACTGGTATATCCCACACAGCAAAAACAGTAGGAAATACAAAAATGTTTTCAGCGATAACTGGAACAGACTCTTCTGAAGATGATAAAAGTTCCAAAGTAGATTCTGGTGTACAATCTGAGCAAAGGACCGAAGATTCAACGCACAAGTCATTAAAAACTGATACTGAAATCAAACATCCTTCTAGAAGAGGACATTCCGTTGCATGTAAGCTATCCTTCTAGAGAAAAAGCTTAGAATTTAATGTTGATTATCTTCATATTGGTATGTTACTAAGAAAGCAGTAAATATGTTGTTTGGTTGTTTTCAGTGTGCTAATCACCGATCAAATACTAACCTACATATCTTACATCTGTGGAAATGATTATTAGATGAAGTTAACTGTTTGGGCTGTTACGACTACAAAATATCTTGAGTCGTTGTCAGCTGGTATTACTTTCTCTGGTCTGAGGTAACGATCGGGAGGGATTTAAAGCAAAGTTGGGAATCAGCTATGTTAGAAATTGAAACAGACCAATTGTATGTGGATATTTATAATTGTTGACTCGACCCTAGTCCGATATTATTGGTTAGGGATAGTAAGAAGTGAGGATAGCTGAAGTCCGACTGGCTGGTGCCCTTCCTTTTAAGTATATTACAAGACAGTATTTTGGTGTGGTTGTCTGATTGCCTTTATTTAAATAAGGACTGCTTAATTATTGAATTTATCCACTAGAGTAATTGATCCATATTGCATCCGTCTAGCTAACTGATCTCCACTGTCACCATAACTACAATGACTCTTGTATTCGTCAAATTGACTAAGACTTTGAAGGACCTTGGTCACCACATTACACATGTATATGTATTAGAGCCACATGAAGTTCGTGCCAATTTTACCTATAGAGAAAGTGTCAAATATTCGTAACACGAATAGAATTTAGCAAGACCTATTAAAAAGGTCTTTGCAACCAATTTTCCTTTGTGACGGCAGCTGATCTAATCGCTGGCACTGCTTCATATGATGGTACTGGTTAACATTAAGCTTTAAAAGACTAATTTTACCTTGATACGTTCTCTAAACTAATGTTTACACATGGATCACACTAGAAATAACTATCCTCAGTGGAATGAGAGGTTAAGTAGTCATGTCATGCAGTTTATAGTGAATCTAAGTTATCTCAGTGTTGCATATAACTGTTATCCGGTTGCATGAAGGTGTTGGAGGCTAATAAGAGTCAAGATCTAACTATCTTGGAAGATCATCAGCCGTCCTATCCAGTCACAGATAACTCCACTCACCATCATTTGCAAAAATCTCGGAAGAAACAATTTTATCTCAATCATTTATTTGGATCTTTTACACTGCAGAAGGATAGAAAGACAGAAAATTTTCAAACACAAGGCATGATATGACTACTAATCTGTTCAAGCTGCGTCACTTCCAGACGATAACTTTATGATACAAGGTAAACAGGAGGAAAAATAAAGGTGGAGGAGAAATAATATGATCAGAAGTTGTGAAAAACATTCAAATTAAAAGAAATTGCGACAAAAGGAATGCAGCTTTTGTGGTCTCATCAATCACATCCACGAAGTATGCTTTTTTGTCTACTTGGATGATATCATTATTCAGAGACTTTATGAATTGATACCATGTGTTGTATTGAGGATGGATATCTTTGACCAACCTAACTCTACTTTAGGTAACGTAATGCACTGAAGCAGACAGTGGATTGTCATGCGTAACACATCTCCCAGACACCTGAAACAAAGGAGGTCAATAACGCCATTGACTAGCCTGTTTTCTCTACCTTACTTGTTACTCTACAATTTACCTGGGAATTTCTCACTACATCGTCTCAACATCTGCAGGGGATTCTGAATAGGTGATGAAATCCGTCATCTAACATAAGGATATTTAACATTTACGTGGCTAAACAGAACTACTTCCTCCCAGGTGCATTCGACCCTTAATAAGTAGCAGAACATACTACAAACCTAGTAAGTAACACAATCTAACTAAAATCAGTAGAGACGTTTGTATTGATTCTGAGGTTACATCGATTACTGACCCATCAGAGATGGTGTGAGATATTTGTTTATTATCATACGATGTATCAATGCAGCCCAGTCTTGAAGAAGAGAGATTTATTTTTTAACTCTATCTGTGTATTCTGAAGACTATTCACCTTGACAGTATCTTCGTCTGCATATTCTGAGTTAAAAAGTAAATCTCATGAAAGATCAACATCTATGAAGTAAAGCAAGAACGAAAGGAAGCCTTCAAAAGTACATTTGTAACAAATTTCAACAAAAATGGAAAACAAACAAACTTTATGGAAACCATCCGAGCAAAATATCATAAATTGTAGAGTAAACAGACTTTACTAAGGTGACACATTCATTAAGCAGTCCCTTCCGTAAGGCATATTGTCATAATGGCCTTCAGTCGACTATATCGTATGTCGCTTTCAGGTTAAAAATATTTAATCTGTTCTTTGGCATCATATGACAGTGGCGGTTACTGTTGATCCTCCCACTTATTTATGATATTTACATGGTAGATGACCTGTCTAGACTGATGAAAACGTTTCTGTTAGGTAGACGAGTCAACAGTACCTGAGTTGCAACAGATTTTGAGGTAATTGACTGAAGACTATTATTCGGAGTAGTAATCAGGTTTCTATCACTAGTCACTCTCCCACTAATGTATTTAACTGTTGTATCAACCACAGATATGCTAACAGCCACATTTTGCTACACTGACTGCCCACCTGCACCTCGCTGCTTTAGTCTCAATTCAACAGAATTAGAGGAAAAATGATTAGTGCGTTGGCTGATTTGTAGGTAGATAAGTGGGTAGATACAGATAGGTTATTCAGCTAACAATCCCTGGCAAAGGAGGACCAGCATTTCAGGCTGATTTCAAACAAAGACGAAAGAAATCTCTCTCATAGAATAACCGATAAACCACCACACACGAAACTAAAACTCCTTGTTTATTCAAAAAAGGACTAGCGACATGGTTTATAGTAATTATATAAGTGTGGTTTTTAACAAAAGCTTTTCTAAGTTTCACTAGACAGTTCACTTCGAGTTAAACATTCTACAAATATCTTTATTCCATCTGGAGGTTTGTGGAGATTTATTAACGGATTTTAGGTTGGAATTCACCATAGACTGACATCAGTTAGGGGAACATTGGAAACCTAAGAGCACTGGACAGCTGTTTCATCCTAGTGTCAGACTTCTCATAAGTGTGCATTCATCACCCCTCCTCGCCAAGTATCGTATCCAGTACCTTCAGGTTCCTTGGCCAGCATGTTACCACTGTGTCGGAATCCAATGGTCCATATTTCCCTGTCGGGGTCATGGATCCGCACGGCTGAGGAGTGCCATAAAGGGACAAAACAGATGTTCAGCGCTTCCAGGTTCTCAACTTTCTTTCAACTGGTCTCAGTTCATGATGAATTCCAACTTAAGGACATCTTTTAAATTATTTTGTGAAGACAACTTATCGAAAGCATTGATCAAGACAGCAAATGTGTGCAAGGTCGATGAAAGCTTCAAGATTGTACATCATTCATCTTGTAATTATTCCCACATATATTGATATTGTTTTTGTCAGTAAATTAAAATGACTCGTACTGAGCTTTTGATATCAGCAATGAGGTTTCACTGAATTCCTTTATCTTGTTTTTCGTCTCCTTTTTGATATCTCCAAACAAATCGTATACAAATGAAGCTGTACCTCCACATATCAGGTGAGCGGTATAAACAATACATTTGTAGATTATATGCATATCCATAGACGATTTTATTTACTTTCAATGACTTCTCACTCCTGATGTCTGATCTAGATAGCCAGCTTGTTGGTAATGAAGTCATTGATTTGAATCCTGAGTGACACAGATTGACGCCTTCTATAGGAAATGACAAACCTAAAGGTTGTAGATGTGCTTCACTGATGTGTTCCGATAAATGCGAAGCTTAAATAGATGCAGAGCTTCTTTCTAGTTGACTAGCTGTAAATGTTTAACAGCATTTGAAGTTAAGGTTGAAGTTCATCATGGACTCACGTCAGTTGAAGAAGGCATTACTGGTGGGGTCAACCAAGTTGGATATGAAGACAATTATTTAACGATGGCGTTAGACGGAGATGATGGTATATTGTGAACCGGAAGAAGTAGAAAAGATGAACCGCTGGATGATAACCCAGTGGTGTAATTGTAACTTACTGGCCACTGGACCTAAGTGTTCTGGGTTTGTACTGTTGAGGGGTCCCGTGCTAGGACGAAACATCTGTCCGGCTTTCCTAGGTTTCCAAAGACTCTCCAACTGATGAATACCACCTTGAAAGCGGAATATGAATTCACAGTGATGGTGACTTAAGCCATAAGGGAACTTCAGTTGTGTCTGATTTGAAACCAGCAACTTCCATGTCACTCACTGATCAGATCTGTCACCTCAGTTAGGGGAACAATCTACTAAAACACGTATCACATTCTTATCCCGCTTTCGTGCAGATGAGACAGACAGATGGTCGTACTTCTAATCTTGTTCTTTGTAACTAACCTGTATTGGTTTAAAAACAGACGAATGACCGTGAATGCTTGTAATTATGGCTGCTAAAGAGAATAAGGAAGGAACATAGTTTTGAAACATAACCGAGGCTTGCTTGATACTGGTTTGACTTTAGCTGCGAAAGAGATCTTTTGTCACGTTAAGTTACCGCTAAATCACCAGAGCATCGAAAGCTTGTGATAATTCCTCATGAGTTTACTTACAATATTGCTTCAAGCTTCATTTTGATGTGATTTGCTTGATGGGTGTCATGTGGCGGGTTCAAGCCTTAGTAAAAACGCCATCATCCACTGAAAGGCAGACACATCCAGCTGAGTACTAAATTAAGAGAAATGCTAGTCTTGGACTCCACTATTAGCCACCATCAAGAAAGTAACGTTAAAGAGGTTGAACTCTTTTATGAGTCTGAAAAAGCTAATAACTATCAGCTTTTTCAAAATTATGCCTTAGTTATCTTAAGTTCTGCTCACTTTATAAATGATCATTTTATTTTCTGCCTATTTTCAGTCCCCTTGAGTCAGACAACTTGTTGAACAGTGAAAAGTTTTATTCCCCACTGCTGAAAGGACATGACCTCCACGAGTCGACAGCGAACACTTCGACCGTATCAATTGACAGTAGATCTAGTCTTTCACTTACAAGCAGTTTATCGAATTCTTCAGTGATGACTCGAAGAGGTGTAGGAAGAATTAATCGAAAAAAGCAAAGTATGCTTTCTCAGCTGGCACTGCCTGATCAGACTGGACCACCAGTTGCCATCAAACAAACAACGTCATCCTCCGATGCTACTACCTCAGATTTAAGAGGCATTAAAAGAGTAAGAGCTACTTCAACAGTTGTACAGCCAACATCATCATCACCAATGGCTATGACGACAACAACAACAACTGCAGTGGCAACAGTAGCAGAGGCTATTGGAAAACTTAAAAGGACTTCAGTCTTACACCGTTCGAGAAACACATCCTGTCCACCGAGTAGAGATACGGGACAGCAAAAAATGAGCACACCCTATCCATTACCAAAATATCAAGTCGATTTAGAAGCACCACCTGTTCCGCCTAAACTTCAACAGTCGATGCAGTTAACTTATCAAGGTGTAAGGTGTAAACAGGCCAGTATCGCCACCAACGCTAATTCTTTAAAAGCCAATCAAAATCATCAAATTAAATTCACCAAGAATAGTCAGTATAGCGAAAGAGAACCTTCACCACCGGTACCAAAAAAAACTTTTCATCGTAGGTTTCGGTTGCAGAAAACCACCAGTGAAATACCCGATGTCTCCTTGTTCACTGATTCATGTTATACCAAGGAAATGAAGTCGAATAACAGTAACACTTACAGACGAAGAAATTCTATGGAATCACAAATGAATAATTCAAGGTTACCTAATGAGACAATCTCAAATGAGCTATCTATCAACAGTACTAAAACAGATGAGTCTAGTGCACCGATTAAAATCATTTCTGTATCGTCATCTAGTAATAATCATAATAATGTTGGTGATAACAATAAGGAGAATATATCACACAGATCCCACAGACATTCCTACGCACACAGTATAGGTGATAATCCTGGTGGTAATAATTTGACTGCAAAGTACACCAAATTACTTCAAGCCTCTACAGATCATCGAACGCGGAATAGTATTCCTCAATCAGAAAGTGATATGAGTGTGACTTCCACTGACTCCTCATCTTTATCCTTCTCATCCTCTTCACTGTCTTCATTAAGAAAGCATAGTAGGCGGAAAGAAACTGATTTAAGTGGTATACCGTCTCCAGTGGTTCATAGGCCTGAGTTTAGTAAACAAGGTTTCATAGTCAATCCACAACGTAAATCTAGTTGTATTATACATCGAATGATATCACCACAACAGTTTGGAGTTTATAAAAACGTTGACAGTCAAGCTGAACAGTATGCGACAGGCTTGCCTTCATTTGCTTCATCATCACTGTCGTCATCATCTTCGCCGACATCATTTAGCAGTTCTGATATTGGCTATGCTACTTCTCAACATGAGAATCAGGAGAGTATCGTTGAGATTGATTCAATAGCATATGGTACTCCAGTGAGTCGGATGAGTTCCCACGCTTCAACTATATCTAGTGGTTCAGCGACCGTCATTTCAACGTCAACTGAGAAATAAAATTTTAGTCTAACATACCCATATAAGCTATTTGCTTTCATTTCTCCGTTTTCTTTTTTTTCATTTTCGTAACTTCAAATCAAACTAATCATACGCATTATTGTAGAAATAAACACATTTGCAGGGGTTAACACATATTAGTTGTATGATGGTGAATGAGGAGAACCCCATGCATTTGTCAGTTATTAAACAAGAAGGAATATGATTTGAATAGTGTGTCAACAAAAATATTTACAACAAATATGAGCATACTTGAAAGCTACACTTTATCACCCTTTTGTTCGATCCGTCAATCGTTCCTTTCTATCAAGGCTAATCAAGCTAATTTATTGTATTGCTTATAGATCAATGATTAAGTCATGTATTCATTCCCCCAATGAAAATGGATATTATTTTCAATTTCTATGATTATCTGCTTGCTAATTCCTCTCTTCTTTCGCATGTACATATTTGGTGTTTATTTTTTGATAAAAAAAAACCATTATGCATTCCACAATCTTCTAGTTTGCCGTCTTTTTTCCCACTAAAAAATAAAGAAATAAATGAGTGAAATAAATATTTGAAGAGAATTGTTCGGTTTCAATTTCACCATTATCAATTTGACAATAAACATTTCGATTGGCCAAGTATTAAGTTATGATTGGTTCAGATTATTCCTCACAGGCAACCAATAGGAATGAAAAGTAATTACGTGACCTTGGTATTGGTGGGTTAAATGAACCGGAAATGAGCATAATAGCATTAAATTATTTGTAAGTAGTAGATTGAGAATTTCCGGCTTTTCAACTGATATAACTGGCCTCTTTCCATACTGATGAAATCGGCAAGCACCAAAAATGGATTATCTCCCAAGCTTCTCAAGAAATAATCAGCTATGTGGGCAGCAGAGGTCGACTTCGGCGAATGATCTGAATCCAGTTATCTGACTTGAGTTTGGTGGTATGTCATATTGAGAGACGGGATTTGAAAAGTGTGCAACTTTTGATTTTAGTGGACTCTAATCAGCACCTTTCTGACACTCCTGGAATAGATTACTAATGAACATAACAACACTATAAGATCTAAAACAACCGTGTTGGACTAAGTGTATGACTGCACACCTGCAATAGACTACACCTCGAGTCAATGAATCAACTTCTGGTGTTCTTGTCAGTTTATTTGGCTAACGAAGCTCGCAGGCAAGTGTAAGTCGTTTCTAACAGCTCTCTTGACACTTGCTGAACTCTAAATGAACTCAAATAACTGGTTTGGTGGGCCTGTTAAAATTGATCTTGACACTTAAACAGTGCATCTCTTGTGTTATGCTGCGAATACAAACTAAAATCAAAAACTCAATTGATAATATCTGACTGTTGATGTGATTCTATCTGGAATCCGACAGTTAAAACCATTCTCCACTTCATTTTGTTTTTATTAAAATGATTGTCTAACCGGTGTTATCGATACACTTTAGTCGTTGGTGTCTCAGTGTGTTATTTTTTCAGCAAGGATTATCGTGGTAGGAAAACAGTTTTAGAGTACAAGGCTTATTTCAAGCACTGTATATAATTTTAGGCTGGCTAGGTTTGAATGATCAGTTTGGAAGTTTATCACAAATCTTGCGGTTTATATTGATATTTCTCACAGGTGAATGGTGCCAGTTAACATGGTTTTCTTTTGAATCGAGTAGTCAGGTTCCGCATTCCATTGTCTTAGTTGAGTATTTTCCAAACCAAATCTTGTTGGTTCTGCAGTTGAGCGGTTGTAAAACTGTTTAGTCGTGTGAGAAATGTTACTTTACATTGAGAGATTTGTGACTAATTTTCGAAACTGATTATCCAGTTTTTTATCTACTCAGATCAGCTAGTCAGATTCAAGTGATCTGAACACCTTGGCTCTGTTAGCTGAATTTGTCTTGGTACATAGATAACTGAACTGAGCGCCAAACAAACGGGACAACAGTTGAGTATTAAAATCATTCTGGTCTGGTTAGCAAAATCTGAATATTTGAATGATAAAAATCCCCACTATGCAAATTATAACAAGATATGTAAGCGAACAATATCGTTTTCCATTAGATCTCATCAGACTTCACTCTTATTTACATAACTTTCAACATAATTGTATAATATGAGCCAATCAAGGTAATTTGTGAGTCTACGACAGCAAGGATGCGGATTGCATACTTTAGAATATCATTTTGGCTACCTGAAATAATGAAATTATTGGTATGATAATTTAAACAAGCGTTCAGAGATAGACGGACAGATAGGGAGGCACGTAGAAAGACAAATGGATAGACGGAAAAAGTAGGTCGAAGTTTAGGAAAGACAATAAAGTTGCGTAATACTGGAGGATGAAGTCAGTGAATAAAGAAAGCTTGAATGAACATTGACGTGTCACTGAAGAGCAGACCGAATTCTACCAATCATTTTGCAATGTGGTCATGAGATTGGATACTCTCCAGTAACCAGTCAATGTACCTGATCCCGTCGCCACTCAGATAACCCAATGGCAGCATCGCTAACTGTAACACTGAGTGACGCGGGCTCAAATCTCTGAGAGGACATTACTTCCCTTGAGGTTGCAGCTACACCTTGCTGGAGGGTGCTAACAAGCACGAAACCTAGATTTGAGGATTCTAGTTTATTGCTTCCAATCAACTAACACACATCATAGAGCTTGGGTGTGAGTATAACGGTGGTGTGAAAGGAGTGACAAAAGTAAGATAAAAGAGGAGCATTTCAAAAATTAAAAGGTAAGGTCATCCTTTAAGACTGCTGTGGTCGTGGTAGGGGAAAAGGTTGTACATATTTCTTCTGGAAACAGACCTTCGGATTATTCCTTCGAACTCCTATAGCTTCAGCTGTAGACAAAAGACGGGTTTGAACTCCATTGGATAGGTTAGGTGGGTTGCGGTAAATCATCACTTTGAACGCTTTCGTTTTATCCACTCTACGACCACTATCAACTAGATGCGATGAAACAGAGCTTCTTACAGACTTAACCTGTCCTTTTCCAAGCTCAGTATAACTGTCTCCACAGGAGCATCTTGGTATGGGACTCCTCATTGGTGTGTACTCATGACCACGTTAAGGATTGAACCCAGGACCAGCAAGCATCATGTTGAGTTTATTGTCACTCACTCAATGGCTCAAAATCCAATGTCCACCAATTAGACTACAATATAGTGAATACCCGGGTAGTATCAAGGTTTTCGCTAGCCACCAAACAGACTACACTACAAGTGTTATGAGAAACATCACAAGTTAGCGTGGAAAACAACTTCGAAGTAAACATGCAACTGATGTAGAAAGATCCTGAAGTCAAGATGAGAGATTTGTCTTAGAATGCTGCAATCTATAATTTATAACAAATCTATAACACATGAAGATCTCAAGTCGCAGGGTGTTTAGATGCTAGTAACGCCATCAAAAGTTAAAATCTATTACAAATGTCTGTTTAGAACAAATTAAAAAATACACTGGAAACAGATAGATGGCTTTTGACTGGGTTATATAGTTACCTATGAGAAGAGAAAACTTACGATAACTAGAAGGATTCGGAGAGAATTAGTGCAGTTATTGGTAAAGTGTTGAAAGAATACATTGAAACACAAGTAGAAGCAGGCTCTGACAAAGACATTAGGGAGCGACTTAATAGTACACGAAGTGAAGTTAGAATTGATAAAATGACCAAAATAAGACAATACTACTTACTAGTGTTATTGTTTGCACATCCAGCTGAGTCCGGAATAGGACGAAATGCGCATCCTGGATTCCACTGCTAGCCACTGTCCATCTTTAATACTACTTACTGTTAGTAAGTAGTTAAAGATAAAGGCCTACAAAAAAGGAATGGAAAGAGAAATGTTGTCAGAAAGTGCTGTCAGAAAGTGAATACAGCGATGATGTGAAAATGAAGTGAAAGGTAAGATTTGGAGTTTATAAACTCTGCACAAAACGGCAAAGCTCATGACTTCAACACTCAGTCAAACAGCTCTGAATCTTCAGTGGAACATAAGCATCCTTAAAGTTAAAGATCAATGAACAACCATGAAGTCAGCTTCAATGAGGGTTTCTTGCCAGCTGGCTGCCAACACCGAGTTCTCTGAATCATCGTGTAGTGTTGGTTCATTTAGTGACCGTGCTTTTAGTTTAACCGATAAACTTCCTCTATATTGGTTTCCTTTTTTTGGTGTTATAGCTTGTGAATTCCTGTCCCTGACTGCGTCTAACTGATCGGCCACAATCAATTAGTATTATCAAAACTGGAAATACAGGCAATATCGAGGGACCCACACAAGAGCTCATATACCAGTGGTTTTAGATCACTTCGGTGTAATCATCGACGGAAACACCAAAACTATACTGTGTCCATCGTACGAAGAGTGACTAATATCACTCAGTGGCCTAGTAGATAAAAACTTGGAGTTTGAAGCGACTCGCCTTAGGTTCAGGCCTTGTAAGAAACAATCCGTGAGGGGTAGGTACGTCCAGATGACGATTCCCAAGTGGGATGAAACAAATGTCCTAGGTCCCACTACTGTCCACCATCCATCAATCATATCCATTCTCATCTGGTAACCGGCACCAGTTATGAGCACTGCCGCAGGCGCTTTCAACCCAGTTAGAAAGATATATAAACATGGACTTTAAATTATTTCAGCAGTAGTTTTATCCCCAACATCTGCAGTAAATTCCAGCCCGACAAATAACGTTGAAACTCCTTAGTATTAAATACGGGTAGAAAGTGTCTACTTCATTGAGGTTGTATAGATTTTCAAAGTTTGATTATTTTCCCTTGGGTTTCTAGGGGAATATAGGGCTTCAGTAGCAAGTCTCCATTTCACTCTCTTCTCTGCAGTCTTTTCAACCTGGCTCCACCACTTCCCAAAAACTTCCATTTCTTCCTCACTTGATCTCCTCCCTGTCACCCTCACTTCGTATGCCCAACTCATCGTTTCCCATTCGAATTCTACTCGATGGCCTGGCCCAAAGCACGATATCACTAAATAGTCT